GGGTTCGAGACCCGCCTGGGCAACCTGGTGAGACCTCATCTCTACAATAAATAAAAAATTAGCCAGGTGTGGTAGTGCGCACCTATAGTTCCAGTTACTTGGAAGGCTGAGGTGGAAGGATTGCCAGAGCCCAGTGGAAGGATCGCTGTGGTGGCGGGGAGCGGCCTCTGGATGACAGAGTGAGACTCCAATTCAAAAAAAAAAAAAAAAGAAAATAGGTTTTTCTAGAGAGAATTTGTAGTGTCCCTAACAAGCAAGCTTCTGGACACCACCAACTTAAGATCATTTTCAGTTAAGGTATCAGCCTGAGGTCTTTTGGATGATCCACAAACGCTAAATTGAATTCATATTTAGATAAGTGTGAATTCAGGTTTGGAATTCACATGATTGGCTTATAGTCTTATGGTTCTGGAATGTTTTTCTTTTTTGGAGTTTCCCCCCCAAACCCAAAGCCCAAAGATATATATATATATATATATATTTTGAGACAGGTCTCACTCTGTCACCCAGACTGGAGTGCAGTGGTATAATCAACGCTCTCTGCAGCCTCAAACTTCTGGGCTCAAATAATCTTCTCACATCAGTCTTGCTGGCATGTAGCTAGAACTACAGGCATGCACTACTAAGTTAGTTATTTTTATGTTTATTTTTGTAGAGACAGGGTCTCACTATGTTGCCCAGGCTGGTCTTGAACTCCTAGCCTCAAGCAATCCTCCCAAAGTGCTAGGATTACAGTCATGAACCACTGCCACCAACTGGCCTGTACCAAAGTTTTTGGTAGCACAGTTTCCTTCTAGTTGCTGAAGGAAGACAGGGAGGAGCTTGGTTTATTTCTCATTCACTTTACTCTGCAGGTGAGGTCCTGTGGGGCTCCAGCTGTTAGGTGGCTTGTCTCCTTTTGGACTTTCTACCTTGGGTGGTCTATGGATTTGTCTACTGCTCCCAATGCGCTGGAGGCCATGAAGATAGAGATTCAAATTCATCTGGGAGTTAGCAAATGCTCTCAGGGTAATAGCCAGGGTTAGTGCTCAATTTATCACACAGAGTTTCTATTTTCACTTAAGTTTTGGCTTTTGCATGTTTCTCACTTTACATTGTTCATCAAAGCATTAAAAGATTTTATTACAAAAGCATTTTTTCCAGCATTTCACATGCTTTCAGTGGGAGAGTGGGTCTCTCACTGGCCCGCCGAACTGCAGGAAATAAAAAATCTCCACATGATGTGAGTTGTGAATCCACCAAAAAGGCACAAAATTTGCAGCATTTTCCAAACCCATGTGACCATGGAGCCTTTGTTTTGAGGATAACCATTTAGGATGGGATCCCACAGGGTCCACTTGGGAAAAATTCTGAGCTAGAGAAACAAAATGCTGTTTGCAATTTTAATTCCAGTTATTCAACAACCACAGCAATGACAGCTACCACTGATTGTTTCCCATTCACGCCAAGTCTGTGCAAGGGACTTAATCCTCCACAAAGTCTTCCATGGTGGATGTTTTTATTGTCCCCAGTACACAGATAGAGAAACTAAGGCTCAGAGAGGTGAGATTATGTGGCCAAGGTCATACAACTGGGAAATGGCAGTGCTAGGTCCTGGCCCTGTTCTGGCCGTCTCCTAATTGCTCCTCTTTCTACTCAGGTGGCCTCTGAAACTACATAGCAGATCACAGGAAAAAGTAGTAGAGTCATACAATAGAATGACAAAAGGAATATATTACTGGTACAATCTACAACATGCATCAACTTCAAAAACATTATGCAAAATGAAAGAAACTAGTCACAAAAGACCATGTACTGTAGGATTCCACTCATATGAAAGTAAAGGATAAGGAAGTCTATAAAGACAGAAAATAGACTAGTGGTTGCTTAAGGCTGGGGAGGGGATGGGGGAATGGGGTTTCTAAAATTGATCGTGGTGGTGATTGCACAACTCTGTAAGTAAACTGAAAACCATTGAATCATGTGCAACATGGGTGAACTGTGTGGTATGCAAGTACCTCAATAAAGCTGTTAAAAACATTTGTGTAAGAGCCAAATATTTTTAGAGGTACAAATCACTGTATTTCTCAAGAAATGTGAACTGTTCTTCCTTGTTTTTCCCCAGTACAATCTGATCATTGTTTTACCTAATTTTGAGTTCGGCTTTGCACAGGGAGGCTCCTCTGCCTCCCCAATGACCTCCGAGTCAGGAGGATAGGATCCAGGCCACACAATCAAGGCCAAGTGCCATCATTGGCTTCAAGCCCCACCTGTGCCCCGCACCCACCCATGAGGCAGGAGTTGTGGTACTCATCCGCCTGGCTCTGGTACTCCAAGATCTTCTTGCTGATGTTCTCGGCGCACTGGTCAAAGGTTTCATACATGCAGTCAGGCCTGGTGACTGGGCGCTTCTCTTTACGGTAAAAGTCCTGCCAGAGAGGGTTGACCGTGTGCGAGTGAGGACCCGCCCCCCGTGGGAATCTGGCCCTCCTTCCTGAGATACACCAACCTGCCCACGTCTTTACACCTCTTAGCCTTTACTTATGCTGTCCCCTATGCTGGAAATGCTTCTCCTCCCTGTCTAACCTTGCCACCTCCATTCATATCCTAGGACCCATTTAGTGTGACTGGGGGCCATGGCCAGCCCTCATTATTTCCTGTGTGAATGAATGGCAAAAATCTTATTTATCCTTCAGGACACACAGCAATGGAATCTTAAATTGGTGACCAGGCCAGGAGCTTACTAGAAAGCACAAAGCTGCGTACAGGCCCTGGAGGAAGCAGACATCCTTGTAGGAGGCAGACAGAAGAATGCACCAGCACCACTCTGCGGGTTGTGCAGAAACAGGGTGGCTAGGTGACTTCTATGGAACTCCATCAGGTGTCTGCTTTTACAGCTCCACCTGTCTCCCTGTGCCCCCCAGTGCCTGTCAGCCTCCTGATGGGCCTGGGTACCTTGGGGACAGAGGCTAGGCTTATTCCTCTTGGCATTTCTATTACCTGACATGTCCAAGAAAGGTTTGGTGATCAGTTAAATGAATAAATGAAGGAATGGGGATTGGTTTCTAGGAGAAAAAAATCCTAAGAGGCGACAGAAGCTGGGGAGCAATGGTCATAGGGGGGTAGAGTCCTCTCTTCCTCGTTTTCCCCTGAGTGGCCATGATCAGCAGACTGCAGAAGACAGGGCCAGCTGGGGATGTGCTTCCAGGCTGGGTACTGGCCTGTGGGTGGTGGTCCTCACCTCTGCAACAGTCAGCAGCATCTCGTTGCTCTCCCAGAGAAGGGTCAGGATGATCTCTTTAAAATTGCTGCAACACACACGAGACAGATTCCTGATGGACCGTGTCTACATGCACCAGTTTGGGCAAAACCAAATGAACAGAACTTTTTGAATGCTCTGTTTTGACTGTACCATTCTTTGTAATTACTCACTACCCCAGGACCTTTGCACACTAGGATTCCTCTTCATAAAAGCTGCTTTCTTCTTGGTCAGTTTGTTCCTGCCCTTCCTCAGACCCCAACTCATTTCTGACCATCTAGTTCTTAATGCTCTCATGGTGCCCCTTGGCTCTATCGTGCTCTAATCAGGTGGATTTCGGACTGATTGTGTGTGACTGGCTGATTAATCTTCACCTCTCCCAGCGACTCTAAAGTCCTCCAAGTGTTTAGGATATTAAATGGGAGGCCATTAGGTCAAACTAGCTCCAGTGCCTGGGGTTCTTAAGGCAAATTGAAACCTAACTCAGAGTGAAAGGTTACATACAGTCTAGGAGAATGAAACATAAGCTCAGCCAATCAGAAACAGCTAGGAACTTTCCACTTAAACTAAACAAATAATTTCCTTGTCTAGCTTCTGTGAGCACCTTATGAAAGGTTTCCCCCAGTTCTCCCTCGGTGGACCCTAAACTGCTTGAAGTCTAACATTGCCTGATTTATGAATCGTTGTTTGCTCAGATAAACCCATTACAATGTTAATGTTTCTGGTTTATCTTTTAGCACAGCACATGGACTGTATGTGTCTGTTTTTGTTCACCATGGAATCCCCAGCTCCAGTGCAGTGCCTGCACCTTTCAGTGCCTTAGTATTGTCTGGATGAAGACTCATTATTTATAATATGAATCGAATGAATAGGACCCAATAGCCTCCTGCATCGAGGTATACAAAATAGAGTCAAGGTATTAATGGTGTGACAATGTCCTTTGGTGTGTGAGCAAGAGACATCTAGCTGCTGGCATGGGATGATGTCTGGGCTGCCTCACAGTCACCCTTCTTTGCATAGTTCACAACCCCAGAAATAAGAACCCCCAGGGTGAAAGGGTTGAAGTGGGGGCACCGTATGGGGAGTACCTGATTGGGGGAGTCCCTGATTTACTCTCTTCAAAGGGTTTTTCATTTCTGAACTTGAAGTTTTGCTTGAAATGAAGCCATACTAAGTGGACCATATTTTGTTTTAACCATTAAAATTACAATAAAGCAAAAGAGAAATGGGGAGGAGGAGCACTGAAAAAAATTAACAACGCCCCCCCCCAACCCTCCAAGGGTCTGCTGCCCTGCCTTCATGAAATGCTCACTTAGGGAAATGTGAGATTTGGGTGAATATGTCTCAACCAATTTATGTGAAATGGGCTGAGACAAACTGACCTTGGCACTTAACTATCCCCTTTCCAGCCCTTTTTCTCTGCTTTTGGGCCTTCCATCTCTTTTCTTATTTTTCCCCAGCTGAGGCAGACTTCCCTGCCATGCTCTACCTTCCCCCCCCCCCAAAAGAAACCCACAACAACACAAGGTTAAATATAGTTGAAGGAAAAGATGTTGTCACTTACTCGGCTGGAGGAGGAGGCTTGTACCCGAGCACCTGGTACTTTCTGTCCATTTTGTTGGGTTTGGAATGCCGCGTGAAGCTATGGGACAAAGGTGGGTCAGTGCTCTGGAGGCTAGGGGCAGACACAAGGCAGGTCTGAACCTATTGAAACACCGCCTGGGTTGCTGGAGGTGCAGGGCCTGCCCCTGGGCAATCTGACTCCCGTTTCTGGGGCCAAGCCCTTTGAGATGACTCTCTATTCCTCAACAGCTGCAAAGACAGTTATTGTGTCTTCACAATAACCCTAATCCTAACCTTACTGTGGAGTGAAACCTTTACCACTAAACTCAACCAAGGCTGCTGAGACGGGGCAAGGGACTGAGGTGCTCAGACCCAAGGACTGAGGTGCTCAGTCCTTGCTTTTCTGTGGTGAGAACCCGAAGAAAAAGACATTGAGCCATAGATCTAGCAAATAGCAATATAGCACATCCATTTAAACTTAAATCTCACATAAGCAAAGAGCAATTTTTAGTATAAGTATGTCCCAAGCAATATTTGGGACATATTTATATTAGATGCTGTTGATCTGAAATTTCAATTTAGCTGGGTATCCTCTTATTTATCTGGCAGCCCTAGTGACATGGACTTTATTTGACAACCTCTGAGAGACTGGATATAGGAACAGATGATGGCTGGAGCACATATAAAAAACAGAATTCTGACCCACAACTTGCAACAACCTACCCAGGAGACCAACCCCTTTATCTACAATAAGTAGCCCAGGAAGCCAGTCTGTGATGGTGACAGTCCAGAAAGCTAAACAATATATCTTGCAACAATAGACCCCAGACGGCCAGAATTTGATGAATAACTGATAGCTTCCCTAATATTTTCCTCATTTCCAACTTAGGACGAACCAGAGAAGGCCAAGTATCCTCCTAGGCAATCATTCAGGACACCCTGACTCAGTTGGCAGCCCTCAGCTTCCCCATGCCAGCTGTTCCAACCAGGGCACAGCTAGAGAGGAAGGGGAGGGCTTCCTGCTCCTCTACCTGCCTTGAGCTCTGCTAAAATGCCCTGGATGGGGCCGACTCCCTGCTAGGGCCAGTTCTGTGTCAATATCCTTTGCTTTTGTCATCTGGCTGGCCTGTGTTTCTTTCTACACTGCACACAGCACACACGCTCAAAAAGACCTTCTAGAGTTAAAGGCAGAGCAGGGATTCCCCTCATTTTCTCAAAACCAGGAATTAATCCATGTTAACCAGGTTGACATGAAGACCAAGAAGGTTTACTCAGCCACGTAACTTCTTTTATCCACCTTCCATAAAACCTGCATGTGGGGATTGGTGGCCAGAGCCCAGGGTCTCATGACCCTGATGAGGCCTACTGGGCAGATCCTCAAGGCCCTGGACTCCTGTGGTTCTGCAATGTCATCCCAGGAAAGCTATCTGCTCTGTGGCTCCAACTGTCCCCCTTCCTAACTATGCTGTATGAGGGGAGGTAGAAGGGCTGAGATTCAGCATCACCATGAACAATCAGTGAACTCCAAACACGTGCTCCAGGTGGGAGGCTGAGTGAGCCACATTCCTCACAGGATAAGCTCAAACCTGACTAAAGTCAGCATCAGAGCTAGTTCCACACTGGCCCCCATTGAGTCCCACAGTCGTACACACTCAGGGAGTACATTCTGAGGACAAAGTCTGGAAAAGCAACAGGATCATCTTCTGCCTTTGGGAGGAAGGCTGAGGGTCTGGGAGGGGGAGAGTGGGGTAGCCCCGCACCCTTACCTCCCTGCTGAGGTGGCACTGGCACTGGGCAAGGCCTTCTTCCCAGAGTGTTCTGTGTGGCATCGATGTCGCTTCGGGCCTTTGGGTGATGAGTGTCCAGGAAAAGAGCAGAGGACAGGAGGTGAGGATGGGCCACATTGTACCACTGGCTTCCCCACCACCACTACCCTGAGACCCACAGGCTTGTGTGTCTCTACCTGTCTGGGACCAATCTTTGTCACGCTGCTGGGCAGGCCATTTTTTGTGAGTAAGCCTAAAACCAAAGGAAAGATTGTGAGCTTTTCTGCAGTGACCATAAAGACAGCCCAGGCCTGTCTCTGGGCAGCATCCCAGTTAAACCTCAGTACCACATGAGTCAGTCCTATCATGAGCCCCATTTCAGATGAGGAACTGAGGCTCTGGGCAGCCCCTTGCTCAAGGTAACAGGCTCTCAGAGGTGGGCTCACATGAAAACCCCAGTGTGTGAATCTCCAAAGCCTGTTCCTCAAGGTCCAGGGCCATGGGCCAGGGCAGCAGAGCCCCCACGATGCACCCCAGAACCACTCACTGCAGGATCTTCTTGACCACCTCCACCGCTGGGTCTTCAATCATGGATTTCCCCATGCGACTTGGTTGGGCAAAGGACTCAGGGGTGACCAGGTCCAGCTTGGCCTCCTCTTCAAGGGTTTCTGAAGAAAACAGGATGTCACTCTCCTCCTCCGGGTCAGTCAAGAGGATATTCTGTGGGTCAGAGAGAAGGGCCTAAGTGTGTGGACCAGCCAGTAGCCTGGGTTCACATCTCATCTCCCCCTGGTCTAAGTGGCGTGGCTGCAGGCAAGATGGCTGACCTTGTCCAGCCTCTATTTTCTCTTTTATAAAGTGGCCTTTCTTAGAAGGCTGTTCATTCATACCTTTTTTTCCCTCATTGTGACTCAGTCTGGAATGCAGTGGCATGATTATGGCTCATGGCAACCTTAACCTCCTGGGCTCAAGCAATTCTCCCTCCTCAGCCTCCCAAGTAGCTGGGACTACAGGCACACAGCAGCACATATGGCTAATTTTTTTATTCTTGTAGAGACGAGGTCTCACTGTATGATATCTTGGGCAGGACAAGAGGAAAGAAAAGGTGTGGAGGACAGGCCATGAAGGCTACTGAATATATCTGGTGACAGAATTTGGACTTTACCACAAGGGCAGGGGAGTGACAGGATCACTTCCACATTTGGTCTGACTGCAGCCCAGGGAATGGGTCATGAGGGGATGTGAGAGGACTGGGAAGCCGGGTGGGCAAGAAACAGGGTGCCTAGGCCAGGTGATGGGGTGGCATGGGGAGAAGCCGGTGGCTACTCCTGCTCACTGGTGGGAAGGGAGAGACTGAGAGGCAGGCTGGCCTGAGAGCCCATGGATGGGGCAAGTGAGGGTCCTGATGGAGGGGAGGAGGTGGTGCCAGGGCTGAAGGGTCTCCTCGGAGACCAGTGGAGGTGGCCCCTGTGATTCAAATCCATATCTGATTCCAGGGCTTGTGATATTTCCATGGCGTCTCAGTAGGCCTGAAGTCCAGCAGAGACCTGGGCGTCTCCTCCTCCCTTCAGCCCTGCTGAGTCCTGTCAGTCTCCTGGAAGCCTAGATAAAGCTCACCCACCACTCCTGCAGCCCCATCCTGACACTTACGGAGAAGATCACTTGAGTCACAGACACCACATCCAGGCTGCAGTTGAGGTACTGAATCCTTTGGCTCAGTTTTTCTTTCCAAGTTCGGACAAAGCCAAGGAGGTCTTCCGTAGGCACTACCTAGTGAGAACATAGAGGAAGACAGTCTTGGAAGCAGCCTGCGGGAGGACAGGCAGGTTCCACAGGACTTGCAGGAACAAGGGCTGGTCAGATGAGGATGCCTGTTGGCTGATGAAAGCCCCTCACTCGCATGGAGGGCCCTAGGTTGTGGGGACTGCTAGGCTGGCTCTCCTGGGCGACTGCACTGGGGCAGTGGACCCCTCACTGCTGCGGATATTGGTAATTCTGTTCCTGGTTCTATGGGTTCAACTTTGGGCAATGTCTCCTAGGATTTACTCTGGATCTAACATTCTATAATTAGAAGAAAACATTTGGACCAAGTGGTGAGGGTGTGTAGGAGTGTGTAGGAGGGCGATCTGGTCGTCTCCATGGCAACATCTAACACACACCATCCCCCCTTGGAGCAGCACTGCACGGGAGCACAGGGATGCTACTTTGAGGATCTTTTTCCCACTACGTAGCCAAAGCATTACTACTGTCTCCTAATCCTTGCTCTGCAGATTTTCAAACCAGCTTCCTCCATCAACACAGGAATGCCTGCACATCCATGCTCATGTGTCCTCATCTGGCCCGGAGGTTGAGAAAGCCCCCGACATCTCCCCAACACTCTTCCAGGAGAGGACAGAGCAGAGGTCAGGAGGTGAGAAAATGTAAGAGACTGAACATTTCTGTTCTGGATGGGCAGAGCTGCCCCCCAAGGACCTGTTGATGGGCCACAGCTGATTAACCTCATTTTTTCCTTGCTCTCCAATGGGTGGGATCACAAGGGAGACCAGGTGAGTTATAGGCAAAATGTAGGAAGCACTTTCCCTTTGCATGTCTGCACTGCAGGGCAAAAATCTCGGTGGATGCGTAGAACATGTAAACAAATACATAACAGTTCAGAGTGTCCCTGTCCAAAATAAGAACTGTGAGAAAGACATTGATTCTATACTCTGTGCTTTGTGGATATTTGAAATTTTCTCAAGAATCATGCAATACTATACAAGAAAAAGCAATCAAGATAGAAAAGAAACGCCTGCTCATTGCTAAAATAGAACCACAACTTGGCATCACTGAAATGGAAGAGAAAAGACAGAATGGTGGGGAGGAAGGTTCCCACTGCAAACCCTTGGGCCAAGGTATCTGGTTCTGGGAATCTCTTGAGTTGAGCTGTGAGAAAAGGGGGCTGTGGCCTGGGCACAAGTGGAATGGGGACAGAGATGTGCACTCGTGAGAGAAAAACAAGCATGTAGACATCAGAGACCTGCTTTTCTGATCAGGGCCTGGGGCACACTTAGCACCACGCTCCTCCTAAACTCGTCTCCAATTCTGACTTTCCATGGATCACACAGAAAAAACCTGTTTTCTGTGCTATAATTTTTTAAAAAGTGATTGTTGTTGAGAAGACAGAGTCCTGCTTCTGTTGATCTTCTGGTGCTGAGTTCTCATTAGAGCAAGGGATGCCTGGTGACATCCCAGGGGAGTGAGGTCACAGGATGCCAGACTTAGGCCCCACCATCACTGGACCACCTGCATGGGAGGCATGGAGGTGGGGACAGTGGCTGGTTTTTCTTCCTTCCTGAATTCCATTGAGTGAAACAGGGGTTAAGTGGGAAGGCTCAGCGCACCCCACTCCCACCCCGTGCTAGAGAAATCCTGTGTGTCCGTGCATAAGCTTATTTCAAGTTTGTGTTTCTAGCATGTCGTATCTTTATTATTCACCTGTGGAATCTACTGAGCACTTACTGTTTTATCTCCCCTCGAGGCTTGACAACTTTCTATCTTGTGCTCAAGCTGTTCTAGAGAAGAATTTAGTCCATCTGTTTGCAAATTGGATTTTGTCACCTAGAAAACAAAGCACATTCTGAGATTTTGTTTCTAGAATATGTACTGTGATAAGGAAAATGTTCAGTGAAAAATAGTATCTGAGACTTGGTTAAGCACTGAAAAAATTAAATCGGGGGAAAATGCAGTTTTACTGGACACTAGAGCAATACAAGCTTAAAAGATTTTTTTCTCTACAAAATTGGTAAGGTTTAAATAAAATTGGTACCCCAGAGTGTGGTGAGGGAGTTGGGAGGAGGACAGGATCCTATCCCAGTGATGCAGGTCCAAATCAGTAAAAAAATCACCTCAAAAGCTTAGAGTCTTTGAAGGACTCTGGCTCTCAGGTGACACCCTAAGGAGGTAGACAGAGTGAGATTCACCAAACATTCCTCCAAAAAGGAATGCTTAGGTTAAAAGGGTAACATATCTATGAGACAAAAGGTATCAAAATGATGCTTTTGAAGAATCTTTTAAAAGTTTATAAAATTGTATATATAGGCCAATTGGGGTATATCTCCATCTTTTTATGTATAGAAAAACATCTTAAAAATAAATCAAGATACTAAACAGGGCTTATGACTATGCAGTTGAATTATGGATTATTATCTCCTTTCTGTATTTGCTCTATATTGTCCATGATGGAAAGGCATTTTGCTATATCATAGGTGTTGCATTTTAAAATGCAACCCCTGGACACTGTGGACAGTCCTCAAACTTCAACTCAGAAAAAGGAATCTGTGCCAGCACCAGCTAGAGGCCCATTAGGGTATGCTATACTCCTAAAACAAGAGTAGGGTGACAAGCCCTGGAGCCTGGGGCTCTGTTCTCTGAAGCTGTCCCCCTCTCCTTCTGGGGTGACTGGAAACCTTCCTTGAGAGGCTCTCCTGGGCCTCCATCAGAGCTGCCTGATTGAGGATTCACTAAGCACCAGCAACTATGCAAAGAGCTAGGCATACATGAGCTCATTTATTGGTGCCATGATCTTACGAGTTACTTTTATAATTCCCATCTTACACATGAGTGAATTAAGTGCTTCTTGGGACCACAGGGGAGGGAAGCTGGGACTGGAATCCCAGTCCTAGAGCCTAGGATCCCAGCAAACCTTTTTTTTAAGCCAATGCATCTGCCAAAAGACAGGTCCATCCTCCTCAGCTTGTCCTAGTCTCAGTGGAACCTCAATGTCTGAATAGGAACTGATGTAGATAATCCAGGCTGTACATTTCCAGTCCCCAACACCCACCTATTCCACCACTCAACTCTGGAATCATAATGTGTCCCTGCTGACATCTGGTCCAGGTCACTCTTCTCTCAACCTCACATCTTTACCTCACTCCTACTCACCTGCTTCCAGCAGCCAGGGAGACCTCCTCAATTGCTGCCCTGAGCACATGGTCCCATTGAAACCCTTCCCTGGACCCTGCTCCCTGGCAGTACCTCTCCAGCCTCAGTGATCCCCACTTCCCTTCTTTTACATTCTCACTCTTCTTGGCTCCTGCCCCCAGATCTTCCCCACCAACTCTCCAGACACTCTGCTCCCCCACCCTATCTGGTCGGCTCCTATTTCTCCCTCAGGCTCGGGAAGCCCCAATTACCTAGTCCAGGTCAATCCCTCTCCTTATGCCCCTCTTGCCCCACACAACCCACTTCCTCTCTAGTTGCACAGATAGCTTGTTCGTGATTCAGGTCATATCTCCCCCAGCCCATTACTGAATTACTCTTTCTGCCCCTGTTTCTTTGTTTCTAAAATGAGGATTAAAAACAGCACTTGCCTTACACAGTTATTTTGAGGATAAGGTAATCAAAATAAGACAGTTAATGCCATGCATGGTGCACAATAACTAGTGAGTGTTAGTGGCTATTAAGATTTACTTTCTGAGCTGGGAGCAATGGCACACACCTGTAATCCCAGCACTTTGGGAGGCAGAGGCAAGAGGATTGCCTGAGTCCAGGGGTTCGAGACCAGCCTGGGCAACATGGCGAGACCTTGTCTCTACAATAAATCAAAAAATTATCCAGGTATGGTGGTGTGTGCCTGTAGTCCCAGCTACTTGGAAGACTGAGGCAGAAGGATCACCTGAGCCCAGCATATCGAAACTGTGGTGGCCGTGAGCATGCCACTGCACTCCAGCTAGGGAGACAGATGAGATTTCAACTCAAAAAAAGGAGAAAGATTTACTTTCTGTCACAAAGACATACAGAATGGATAATGGACACTGGAGACTCAGGAGGGGGAGGGAGGAAGAGGTGGAGGGATGGAAAATCACCTGTCATTGTACAGGCACAATATGCACAGGTGGGGTGGTGGGTGTACTTAAAGCCCAAACCAAAAGCCATTTTTACCCCCTAAAGCTTTTGAAACAGAGAGACATTAAATAAACAAATAAATAAAAGATTTAATTTCTGTCTTCCCAGCTGAAGGGCAGGTCCCACAGAACAGAGACGGGCACCAGCCTCCAGCACCAGGGACAGTGCCTGGTGCGTAGGTGTGTGGTAACTGTTTCCTAGATGAAGAATTCAACTGTTTCCTAGATGAAGAATTCATCTGTCCTACCTCGCACTTGATGTTCACTTGCAGATTTGTCAGCAACCGCTGGATTTTCTCTATGAAAATAAGGTCTACAGACAGGTTATGGAATTTGCTTTCAAATTTGTTGATGACATCATTGGCCTGTACAAAAAGAAAAAAAGAGCAAAGAAGTGGAGCTTAATCTGGAACTTCTGGACTTTGGAAGAGCAGGTGAGATGGAGAAGGTGAGACTCCCTTTCAGTCTGTGGACTCCAAGCAGGGAAACAAAGAATAATCCTAAAGTTTCTTCATGGGAAATTCCAGGCACCCAACTAGCCTCAGGAGTAAATAAGTATAACATATTAGGCAAGTAGGTAATAGTAACATAAAACAATGGCCAAAGAAGCTAAAGTTCCAGAGATGTTTGTTTTCCACTATGGAAACTAAAGATAGCATCTTATCCTGTGTCCCTTAGTTGTCATACAGAGACTTGAACCCTGACTGAGGACCCCACTGAACGGATCCACTGGTGCATAGCATCTTTAACTATCTAATTTTGTTCTAAGTCTCTTCCTGAGGGCTTGGAGAAAGTCACTCCTCCTAGCCAGTGAACATTTTTCTACTGACCCCAATTTTAAAACAAAGCTTCTCTTCCTTAAACAATTGCAAATCACACAATCTTCGAGTCCACCTAGGACCTGTAAACTCCTGCTTCAAGATATCCTGCCCTTTCAAGCTTAAACCAGTGTGTAATCTCCATGTATTATTTTATGATTTGACCTGTAACTTCTGCTTTTCTGAAATTCACCCCTGCCTTTACAAACCTTTGCAAGCCATCGGAGAGGCTAGATTTGAGCATTATAGCAGCCTGGTCCTCCTTGCTTGGTACCCTGCAATAAAACCTTTCTTTCTATCATTGCATACACAGTGTGGATATCTGGGTTTTACTGCACTGGGCAACAAATCCCAGTTCAGTTTTGTAACAAGAAGCCAAGCCCGTATAACGATTAGATAGGAGGCTTAGCTTCCCTTCAGAGAGAATGGAGCAAGGTGACACTCTAACTGGCTGTCCAGGGACCTGGCAAGAGGCAGGGCTGGCTCCCCACCTGGTCCAGGTACTCGCTTTCCATCTTCTCCATATTAAGCATGATTAAATTTTCAACAAACTCTATCCGGGAGGTTTCCTTCTCTAGTCGATGACACAGTGATTCGATTTCTTCAGGAGAAAAGTTGCCTCCTTCTGAAAACAACCTGAAAATAATCAGGGAGGAATAAAAGCCACTGATCAGACCTGAAAGTTCCCATCCATCCCCAATACTGTGGTTAATATACACTTTTAATCAGGGCTTTAGATTAACAGTGCAAGATGATGAGAAAATGAATGCAGGTAGCTCAAGTACAGGATTCATAAATGGTGCGGGACTTCCATTTTTGTCATTGTCAGATTGAGTTCCCTGACAGATCCAACTGAAACAAATAAAATGCTGGATAAAATTCAAAAGATAAAAATAGTTTTCTTGGAGCTCTGTCAAGGTGCTCCAAGATGACATGAAACCAGAAAGAAGGTCCCTTGGAATGCGGGCGAGTGTCAAAGCCAGCTTTACACTGGAGACTTTGAGTTCCAGCATTGATGATGTACAGGTGAGGGGACAGCCTGGAGCTGGACCCAGAAGATAGCACTTGCCGTCTGAGATGAGAGTGAGAAATGAACTCCACCAGATACCAAGGCTCTGGCCTGTCTAGATCCAAAGGTAGGGAGGAAAGGAAGATATCTCTCCCCTTAGAATTTGTAACACAAACTGGACTTCACATACATTTACAAACCTAGTTCATATTTTCTGAAGTTACAAAAAAAAAAAAAAACAACCAAAAAAACTTAAAACAGAGTATTCCAATTGGTCTGGGAAGGTAGTGCCCCCTGTTCCCCACAGCTGCACAGCAGAAACAAATAGAATTCTGCCGAGCCATGGGCTCGGTGGCTCAGCATGTAATCCCGTGCTTTGGGAGGCTGAGGTGAGTGAATTGCCTGAGCCTGTGGGTTCGAGATCCACCCAGGCAACTTGGCGAGACCTCATCTCTACAATAAATAAAAAAATTAACTGGTGTGGTGGTGCGTGCCTGTAATTCCAGGTACTTGGAAGGCTGAGGCGGAAGGATCGCCAGAGCCCAGCAGGTCAAGGCTGCGGTGGCCAGGAGCATGCCACTACACTCCAGTCTGGGCGACACAGTGAGACTCTAACTAAAAAAAAAAAAAAAGATTCTTTCGGAAGGAATTAATGTCAGTCCAGGCCTCAAAAAACACCACAGATAAAGTCCCAAGGAGACAAGACATAAGATACCATGAATGAGAACTGAAACAGACCTCACACAAAGACTTCAGATATTAGAATCATCAGTCATATAGTCTATAAAATAACTAGATTAAAAATGTTTAAAGAAATTAAAAGATAAGCTTAAAAATATGAGCAAGGAACAGGCAGTTTTGAAAAAGAATCAAATTTAATTACAAATAGAAACTATAATAAAGGTTAAAAACTCAATGAATAAATTGGCCCAGAGTTTCAACACAGCTACAGAGTGAATCAGTGACTAGGAAGGACAACATAAAGAAATTAGCTAGAATGAAGCTAAAACATGCAAGTGATGCAGAGATATGCAGGATAGAGTTGCCTAACATAAGTCAAATTATAGTTCTAGTTTTTGCTACTTTCCAATTTTTCTTTTAAAATACTACTTTTATAATCAGAAAAATTTCAATCATATTTAAAACAAGTGCAAACTTTGCAGATACTGACATAAAAGGTGTCCACTGTTGGTGCTCAGAAAATGACACCCCAAGGGCTGGGCATGGTGGCTCATGCCTGTAAACCCAGTACTTTGGGAGGCCAAGGCAGGAGGATCACTTGAGCCCAGGAATTTGAGATCAGGCTAGGTAACATAGAGAGACCTGTCTCTACAAAACAAAAACAAAAACAAGTCACCCCAAAATACATCTCTTTGAATTTGAAACTGAGAACACCTGGGAACAGTAAATGCAGGGAAGGGCTTTCTCTGGAGTTCCCCTATCTACCTAAAGGCTGGATCCTCCAGAAGGCATTTAGTTGTTGTGAATCCCTTCCCTAGATAGCTCATCAATCAAGGGAAATTGACACATATTGCAGGAAGAAAGACTGGAGTTGACAAAACACCCAAAGCCCAGAGGGACTTTGTCCCAGGCTATGGTCTGTTCTTTGGTCCCATAAATCTCCTCTAAATATCATTTACTCTTTCTCTAAAATCACCTACTCCCCCCACTTTCCTCTTCTCCTTGAACAGGGTATTTAAGCTTCAACCATCTGGCTTTTCTTTGAGTTTCATACTTTGTGTGACACCCCATGCACTTGCATGTTAATAGATTTGTACAAGGGGGCAGGACCAACCCCCCCCAGAATTTATGTGTAAAAAATTGTGTATTTATTCTTACATGTTTACACTTGTTTACACTTCAGTCACCTTCAAAGTACTCTGTTTGATGTAATATACCTTTTGCGACATTTTTTTCTACTGCTCAAAACAGTTTTTGGACTTATCAATCTTGACGCCTTTTAGTGCTTCTGCTGTTTTTGATTTCACCTCTTCCACATCAGCAAAACTTTCCCTTTAAGGATTTTTTCCACCAGGGAAACAAAAACAAAAAATAACAACAACAAAAAAATCACTCTGGGCGAGATGGGGTGAATAATGGGGGTGGGGCACAGGGGTCATGCTGTTTTGGGTCAAAAACTGCTGAACACTCAGTGAGGTGTGGGCAGGTTGTTTGTGTAAATCACCCAACATGAAATGGGCAAATATGTTGGAAGAATTCCCCAAAAAATTCACTGAAGCTGAGGGCAGCCTCTCAAAACAATGCAAGCTGGTGTGCTGATGGGTTTCTAAAACTCTTACCTATCTGGAGAAGCCTGCACTACAAGGGACCTGCCCTCCAAAAAATAATACATTTTTTGGGGGGTTCCCCTTTGTATGCTTTTCTCTTGTTAATCTGTCTACTCTCTGATTTATAGTCTCAAATTACTGAAACTTAAGCAGGTAGAAAGAAAATTCCTTTAGCCTCTGTGCCACCATGACTTGGCTGTGGTTGTGGAAGGGGCTGTGGATCAGCATTTTAAAAACTAATTTCTGTTAAAAACTAATAATTTTTTGCTCATGGATACATAAATACAGGCATACACAAATATATTCCTGGGGGCTTCCACTTTCTATTCTATATGAGTCTGTTTGGTTATGCTATAATCAGGATAAGAGGTGTGATTTTTAAAATAGTATAAGCTCAAAAAAATACAGTCTTTCACAAATGTCAGAGACTAAATCTAGTATTACTTTCATTTAGGATTGTGTTAAAATTGCAGTGGGTAAACAAAGGGAAATAATATTCATAGGCACATGGAATGATGCTCAATATTTTTGATCATCAGGGAAATGCAAGTCAAAATCATATATGATATTACCTCACACCCATTAAGATGGTTACAAAAAAACCCAAAAAACAAAACTAACACCAGAAAATATCAAGTATCGGTGAGAACATAGAGAAATTGGAACTCTTGTGCATTGCTGATGGGACTATATAATGGTGCAGTTTCTGTGGAAACAGTATGATGGTTCCCCCCAAAATTAAACATAGAATTACCATATATATAAGCAGCATCTCTACCTCTAGAAAACACCAAAAAGAATGAAAATCAGAGCCTTGAACAGTACTTGTACACCAGTGTTCCTAGCACCATATTCACAATAACCAAAAGGTGGAAACAACCCAATAACCATCAATAGATGAATGGATAAGCATAATGTGATAAATCCATACAATGTAATATTATTCATCCTTAAAGAGGAATGATTTCCAGACATGTGATACAATGTGGATGAGAGCCTCGAAGACAGTATGCTACATGAAATGAGCCAGACAGAAAAGAACACATATATGATTCCACTCATATGTGGGATCTGGAGGGGTCAAACTCATAAAGTAAAGAGAATGCTGGTTGCCATGGGGCTGGGGGGATGTAGAATTATTGCTTCATGGTACAGAGTTTCAGTTTGTGAAGATGAACAGGTTCTGGTGATGGATGGTGGTGATGTCAGCACAACAAATGAGGATGCATTTAATGCCACTGAACTGTGCACCTAAAGATGGTTAACATGGTAAATTTCATGTTACGTATATTTTGTCAAAACAAAAAATTAAAAGGAAAACAAGACTACTTCCCAATACAGAAACCCAGTGACTGGAAGAGGCCCTAGACACTGGGCCCCACCTGCAGTGCTTGACGAACTCGATGTTTGTGTAGCGGAGTTTGCCCAGACTCTCTTCCAAGTACTGCCGGAAGCTGCGCAGGGACACCTGGATGACATCGACGTAGTTAAGCAGCTCCCGGTGCAGTGTGCTGTTGAGGATGACCAGCCTGTGGGAGGCAGAGGAGGGGCAAGAGAGCTGGGGGACAGGGGAGAGGCAGGTGGAGATGGGGTGCCACCCTGGGACACGGTGGGAGGGGGAGTGGTGATGGTGACAAGCTTAAGGGACACAAGAGGGGCAGGGGGTGATGGTGACCAGTCTGGGAAACATAAAAGGGACAGGGGGTGATGGATCACCTTCCTGGGGGACACAGGAGGGGCAGGGGGTGATGGTGACCAGCCTGGGGGACATAGGGGGGCAGATGGTGATGAGTGACCTTCCTGGGGGCATGACACTGCTGGATAACCAGCTTGGGGGGCATGAGAGGGCAGGGTGGTGACTGGGCCTGAGAGGACATCCTGGAAGGCTACTGGAGTGTCACAAGCATGCCCAGCTATGGGGCCACCAGAACCGCTGCCCAGATTCTCTGGTTAGCAAAGGGAGTAGTAGAAGGAAGATAGAAAGTTCGGTGTGTGCAGGAGACAGTAGGTGGGCTGGCTCAGAGGGCATCCCTCACCTCTCTCCGACCCTGCTTTCATATTGGTAAGAGAATCCCAGGCCCTCCTGGATCTTCATATTCCCTCCAATAGGCCATGTCTGACCCCAATAAGGTGACACCTGCACCCAGCGCGCTCCAGAAAGAGTGCCCTGTACATTTCCTCTCGAACCAGCTGACCCTCGTGTGCCTGATGCTGCGCAGACACTTGCCAACCCCCACCCTGTGACCTGCCTGAGGCCTCCATCTCATATCCCTGACTGGTCTCCCTAGAGCCCCTTGCTCTTCCCTGAACACACCCCTACCCAGATCTTGGACAGTGTTCCTTCTCCGACTGGGGAATTTGGGCCCCTCCCACCTTCCTCCATCCCAGGCCAGGGCTCCTCAAGTTCATCCCAAATGCCACCACCTGCAGGAAGCCCTTCTTGGTTTCCCTGAAGGAAAGTGGCCTTTCCCACCGTAGACTTTTCAGGGCACGTCATTTGCATCTTTGCATGCTGACTACCCTTTGCTCGCTCTGGCTGCTCACCCCCCTCCCCAATTGGATGTTTCACACAGAGATTGAGTCTTCAACTCTCCTGAAGAGCTTAATTCAAAAGAAGGCTCCTGTGGTGCCTTCTGCTCCTTTGTCTACAGGGAGGGACAGCGCCTTTGAAAGCAGCAGCCTGGCTGGGACTCTAGAGCCATGTGGCTAGCCAGGAGGAGACTCCAGGTCCCCTTACTTTTGGCTCTTGGTGGCATTCAAGAAGTTGTGCTCCATGTCGTAAATCTTGCGGCGGAAGTTTTTGCTCCTTGTGTTTTGCTCTTCCTGAAACTGGTAGAACATCAGCCTCTCCTTCTTCAGCGCCTCGACCACCCCAGCACAGTGGCTGTCTAGCCGTTCTTGATGAAGCAGGAGCTCAGCTGAAAAAGGGATGAGGAGAGCGGAATGCCTTCTGGGACCCAACTCACCACAGCATATTCCTTTCCTGGAACAATGCCTGCCTGCTGCCTCTCCCAGACTGGCCGGCTGCAGAACAGGGACAGTTCAGGCCAAGGTCCCTTGCTCTACCCCTGCTGTCCTCACCAGGACTTGGGTTGGGAAGAGCTCTGACCTCAGAGAGGCCGAGTTGAGCGGAAGCTCTTTCTGACTGTGAGCAGGGAGTTCCCTGCTGGTGGGAACAAACCCAGAGAGATGGAGAGCTCCAGGGAGCAGCCAGGCAGCAGGTGGGAGGGGTAGGGGGTCCTGGGGGAGGGCTGAGATTGAGGTGAGAGGGTCTGAAGGGACAACAATAAGCACAAAGCCGAGCAGTCTGGGTTTGTTCCTTGACATCCGTGGATGTTCACGTCCAATGAGCCTGAATTCCAACTGGCTTCCAAGGTGGAGCAGAAGGAACAAGGATTGGGCTTCCAGAGTTCCACCACAGGTCATTAAAGGGAGCAGAGAGCCTCCAGCTGACCCTCCTGTTGTCTGGAGTAGTGGAAGTACTGTGATCCCAGCTCCATCTGAATAGTGTGAATGCTGAGACTTTGTTTCTCTGGCCTCAGTTGCCACACTGATTTTATTGGGCCAAGAGCCTGAGAAGGAAAAGGACCCAGCCTGCAGGGACCTTCTATTCAGTGCACATAGACTCTTTTTTATCCCCCAGTGCCTTTAGTGCATAATATTTCCAGATGAGGACAATGAGGTTCCTAATGCCAAACAAGTTGCCCCAGGCTGCTGCAAGTGTTGAGATTGGAATTGGAGGCCAGTTGTCTGTTTGCGCCATCCTTCCTCTGCTCAGGCAGTAGAAGTTTGCATGGGATCATGAGGGGATGCTCTGCTAGCTCTAAAGGGCTGTGATGATGCAGCCTGGAGTATATAGTTTGAAAAACCAAGAGCAGTCATGGAAGCATCCTGCTAAAAGTGTGTCCTTCGATTAATAGAGCCTACTGCCTAAAGGAGAAACATATATCTTTTTAAGTGTAATAAGTGATAAGGGAGAAATAATGTCTATCACTTTTGGGGGCTGCATCTTGTTTGTACAAGGTGCCCAGGATACCGTTTAAGGAGAATTCATTACCACCTCCAGCAATTCCTTCTGCAAGTGAGGGAGGGGTCAGAGAGGTCAGGTAACAGGTCCAGAGTTACATAGTCACAGAGCCTGAGAGCTCTGATCCCTGAACTACAAGCTTGCGTCTATGCAAGCAGCTACTATGCAGGTATGTATCTGACAGGTGAGCGACCTGGGATCCAAGAGCTAAAACAGGATGACACTCTTGCAAATCTAACACCCTCTTTTTTTTTTGGCTCCGCACCACAGCTCACCCCCTAACACCCACTTTAAAAAAAAGAAAGTGGGCCGGCCGTGGTGACTGAAGTCTATAATCCCAGTACTTTGGGAGGTAGAGGTGAGTGGATTGCCTGAACCCACGGTTCAAGAACAGCCTGGGCAACTTGGTGGGACCTCATCTCTACAATAAAAATTAAAAAAAAATAGCCGGGCATGGTAGCATGTGCCTGTAGTTCTGACTACTTGGAAGGCTGAGGCGGAAGGATCGCCTGAGCCTTGCATGTCGACGCTGGGGTGGCCGTGAGTGCACCACTGCACTCCAGCCTGGGCGACAGAGTAAGATTACAACTAAAAAAAAAAAAAAAAAAAAAAGTGGAAATAATCATCCTTTAAAAAAAAAATCTCAAGTGGAGATTCTGAGTACCACCCTTCTCTGCAAGCCTGGGAGGTGCAAACCCTTGCACACATCTTCCATGGTGTGATGAGAACATGCTAAATATTGCATGGTGCAGACTGGGGCAGCACATGGAACCACAGTGGAGCAGACACTATGGGAGGGGTCTGGAGGCAGGACAGGCCTTTCTAGGCAGAGTCTGTACCTGCCCTGACATTGTGGATGTCCTTTTCAATTTGCTGGGCTCTTGGTTGGTGCAGATGCAGGCGCAGCTCCAGTTCTGAATCCAGTTCATCGATTTTGGTGGCTACAATGACTCGAGCATTGAGGGCACACTGGTCAAACCACTTCTCGAGGTGCTCGAAGAAGCCAGCCCGAAGTCTGAGGAAGAGACCAACCAGGGTCAGCCCTGCCAGCAATCATGACCTGGGAGAGATCTTACCATACCGAGACCCAGGTGGTTCCCCTTTCACTCCTTCTTTCTTATTTTATTTCCCAACTACACTGTATTTCATTGTGTGGATGGACCATCATTCATGGCCAATGCGGGAGGACATTGGAGTGGTTCCAGCCTTTTGTTCTTAGGAAGGAGACTGCAACAAATAACCTTGTACAAACAAATGTAGAGGTACATCTATAGGCTACATGCCTCTGAACTAAAATTGCTGAATTAAAATACATTTGTGGCATTGGCAGAAATGGCCAAATTGTTTCCATTTGAAGGCACCTTGTATTCTCATTAGCAAAATAATAGCTTCTGTTTCTCCACAGCCTCAGAGTGCATTGTCAAACTTTTGAGTTTAACCATTCTGTCATGGTATGACTGAGACTGAGCATATTTCCATGTGTTTAAGATTATTTAGGCTGGGCGTGGTGGCTCAGCCTGTGATCCCAGCACTTTGGGAGGCTGAAGCAAGAGGATTGCCTGAGTCCAGGGGTTCAAGACCAGTCTGGACAACTTGGCGAGATCTCATCTCTACAATAAATCAAATATTAGCCAGGCATGTTAGCACAAGCCTGTAGTTCTAACTACTTGGAAGGCTGAGGCAGAAGGATTGCCTAAGCCCAGCAGGTGGAGGCTGCGGTGGCTGTGAGCGTGCCACTGCACTCCAACCTGGGTGACAGAGTGAGACTCCAACTCAAAAAAAAAAAAAAAAGAAAAAGAAAAAGGAATTTCTTTTTTCTGTATACTGTCCATTAACGTCTTTGGTTCATTTCTTAATTGTGTATAGCTACTCTTTTCTAAAATCAATTTCTAGAGTTCTTTATACATTGAGGACATGAGGTTCATTGACTTTGATGTGAGTTACAAAGATTGCTTCCCAGTTTCTCATTGCTTCGTTTTTAAAACCAATGGTACTTTTTTGGTCATGTATTGTTAAGATGTCAGTTCTCCCAAAATTGATCTATAGATTCAATGCAATGACAAGGAAAACAATTTCAGCAGATATCTTCTTACGGAAACTGATGAGCTAATTGAAAAATATATGTAGAAACACGAAGGGCCAAGAACAGTGAAGACAATCTTGGAGAAGACCAAAGTTGGAGGACATACTACCATATGTCAAGACTTAGTATAAAGCTGTAGTAATCAAGCAATGTGAGGTAGCTGTCTGAGGAGAGACAGACACATTGAGAAGTAGAAAAAGGCATGGCAGAGCAGGGAGAGGAGAGTCTTCTCAGTAAATGGCCCTGGATCAGTGGGTTATCTGTGTGGAAAAGAAATGAATCTTGACTCCTATCCCATATCATAAGCAAAAATCAATTTCAGGTGGATTTTAGATGTTAATATGGAAGTGGAAAACAATACCATTTCTAATATAAAACACTGGAGAATATTTTCATGATCTTGGGGCAGGCAAAAATTTCTTAGCTAGGATACAAAATAAACTAACCCTAATAAAAAATTGATAAATTGGGCCTGAATAAAAATAAGAACAACTGTGCATCAAAAGATACCTTTAAAGATAGCAAAAAAAGCAAGAGTAGAGAGGGGATGAACATATGCCATATATTTATCTAACAAAAGTCTCATATAAGATATGTAACTAATTCCCATAAATTAATAAGAATAAAACCAGATTATCTATGACCCACCAGAAAAAAAGGCAAAAGGTTTCACTAGGCACTTCACAAAAAGATAACCAAATGACCAACAAGTATATGAAAAGGTGAACAACATCATTCCTACCCATGTATAAATGTGGGAGGTGAACTAACTAGGTGACCTCTAGCTGATTAGTCCTTCCTATGACATTGTAGAGACAAGAGGACAATGGGAATGCCATCCAAAAGGTAAGCACAAATTTCTACATTTGAGTCAAACTCAAACACAGAGGGTTAGAAACTTGAGAGTCAGGGGAAGTAAAGTCTCAGTGGTGGGATTAAGGGTCATTTCTCTCTAGTCTTCATCATTCCTCTATTTTCTGCAATGAATGTGTCACATGAGTGCAAAATACCATATGATGAGATAGGAGATACCTAGAGAAAGATTAGGCAGACAGACAGGCAGGTCCTCTGTTACTAATGTAGTGAACTGCCAGCAGGCCTCTCAAGCTAGAGCTTAAATACTCACTGCTGGGATCAAAAAGCAACCAAACAGCTCACCATTAGGCCTCTACCTCCTGCTGATTGGTCCTTAATACTGACCAAAAAGAACTGATAAGCGTGGACCAATCAGCTCACAGCTAGTGCCAGCCAATCAGCTTGGACTTAGGGCTATATAAGCACCAGATTTTGGCCCCAAGACTAGCAACCCCTTCTGGTCCCCTCCCACTGTGGGAGCTTTTCTGTCCTCTCAATAAATTCTGCTTTCTCACTTTCCTGCTCTCTGCGTCCCTCATTCTTCCTGGGCATGAGACAAGAACCTCGGCCCTGAAGAGCTGCAGAAGATCGTTCGATCCGAAGAGCTGCGCACCCCAGATGCTGGTTTGCCAGCCAACGAAGCCAGCTGAATCAGGAGAGCTGCTAGAAGAAGGTGAGACTCCAAAGCTGAAACTCTCCAGGGGGTAGGCTTGCCAGTCCACTGAACCAGCTACACTCTCAGGGCCTGGCTTGCCAGCCCGTCAGAGCCAACACTCCAGGGGCTAGGCTTGCAGCCCACCGAACCAGCAACACTCTCAGGGTTTGACTTGCCAGCTCATTAGAGCCAACACGTTTGGGCTAGGCTTACCAGTCCCTTGAACTGACCCTCTCTGGGGCTTCGTTGGCTGACCCATTGAGCTAACACTCTCAAAGCCCAGGCTGACCTGAAAAATCCACGTCAACATGACATATTCATACTTATGGTCTACATCTATAGAATCGAAAAAGAAAAGAAACCCTAAGATTAAAGACATGCCAAGAACTAGAACCCAAAAGTACTTGGCAGAGAAAACACTGTTTTTTACGTACAATGCCCAAACCAGAAGAGCAGCCTGGGATGGGCACAAAGGGTCAGACTCATAGAAGACATCTGTGACTGCAAATAATTCCTGGATATTTGCTATTTTTTGTGTTTCTCATTCCTACATTTTTTTCTTTTTCCAGCTGAAACGAGTTCAATCTTTTGTTACAATATTTCATTTTGTTTATAAAACTCAGAACAGCAGAATGAGGGGAAAAAAAGTTTTCTACTTACTGTTTCTTAATTTCTAAAACTAGTTCAGTTGGAATTTTCATTTGTTCTATGAGCTTGGCACTGGCAGTACCATTGTTGAGCATAGATGAGAAGGTGGAATGTGGCCTCTTGAAACGCTTTTCTTCTTCTTCCACAGACAGGAATACAAAATAAGTGTTTCCACTGGAGGTTGTGAAGGATTCCACGTCCTCATAGTATACCTCCCCAGGACTCTCTTCCTGGTCTCCGCCCTAAGCAGGTAACAGGACTTCAGACGTAATATCCCCAAATAATCAAACGATATATTTATATATGTATATCCCACATAGTATTTTTTTTTTAGATTGCAATAATATGGGTGTCTGATTTCCTGAAAACATCAGAATATATGTTACTTTCTGAGCCTGCATTCCCATATGGCATCTTTGGCTGGGCCTAAGTCTTCATCATTTGTCATGATTTTGTACTTGGTTTCCATTGTCTTCTCTATTTCAAACCTATGGGCATTTGAGTTTGGGATTCCTGCTCAAAAAAAGTCTCATATACCGATTCTTTTACAGAAATTTAGGAAATAAAGTCTTCTGCAATTCCATGATTGTGGAATTCAAGGTATCATTCTATGATTTTGACTGTGTTTTGAGGACAAGATTTATTAATCTGAGAGTTACTTCCCCGCACTCAAAGGAGAGTTCTGTCTGCCAGCCTGGACATGGGTCTTTTGAGAACAGAAATAGAAGAGAGGGAATGAAGTGACTGGGGTGAAGCAGGAGCGGCTAAGCTGATCTATTCGATAAGGAGGAGCTGAGAAAGGGGGAGAACTGGGGAGGAATATGGAAAGCCGTACAGTTGAGGGGTGACTCCGGAGTAGCTAGCAGGATCATGAGGAGAGAGAAGTGAATTTTAAAGCATTGCTGTGAGTGAAGAATTGAATCTCTGTTGACAAAAACAAAAAAGTATGAATACTTCTGTAATTATATGCACCTCAGTGGAGGCTGGGCCACTGGGGACCTCTGCTTATACTAGGGATACACACAGAAGGAACACAGCAAACTTTCTCTGTACCCAAGAATGAATCAGTTGCTGGCTTACCTCACTCTCAGATAAGCTCTTTTGCTCTTCCTTTGCCTCCTCCTCTTCTTCATCCTCTTTCTCCTCCTCTTCATCTTTCTCCTCTTCTTCTTCCTTCTCCTTCTCTTCTTCCTCTTCCTCCTCCTCTTCTTCCTCTTCCTCTTTCTCCTCCTCCTCTTCTTCCGCCTTCTCCTCCTCCTCTTCCTCCTTCTCCTCCTCCTCCTCTTCCTCCTTTTCCTTCTCCTCCTCTTCCTCCTCCTCCTCTTCTTCTTGAGCCATCACATTCTCCTGGTTTGAGGATGATTTTAAGGAGCCCTCTCTTTCAGCCTGCATTTCTTTCAATCCTTGACTAGAACCCTCTTTGGACTCCTCCATCTTGGCATCTATTGCAGATATTTCCTGCTGGCTCAGCACCCCTTCCATTATGGAGGACTCCATTTCTTGCTTTCTTTGTTTCTCCGTCTCTTTTTCTGGCCTGGCAGCACTTGTTCCTCTACTTATGCTTTTCTCACTTTTGCTCATGTCCACTTTCACCTCTTCCCCTTTCCTCATTCTCTTCTGGATAGGCTTTTCATGTGTTTCTGTTGATGATCAACACCAAAGCACAAGGAGAAACAATTTAACAATGTTGCTTGGATTGGGCCTTCCCAACTCACAAATAAACAAGAGTGAAGTCAGGGAGAATCAACTTCTAAAAGTGTTACCTGGTTTCCTGAATTTGAAAATGATTTCTCCAGTCAAGTTCTACAAGGAAAAACAAAAACAAAAAACCACGAGTCACCAAAGCCCTGCATTTTTTCAGAGTGCCACTTCTAAGGGCATCTCTTTTAAGTAAAATAATTCACCTCTCCCCTTCAATCGCTATCTGATGCAGGCCTTGACCAACTTATTTCATTAGGGTTAACAAGGTGTTTTCAATCCAGGGAACACGTTTTCCTCACAAGCAGGCTAGCAAACCCTTACAGTACAGAATGGGTAGTCCACGCAATGGAATAAATGCTCATCCTGACACATTTTTAGTAGTGATCTGGAGCAAAGGGCAAGAAAAATATAAATTGAGGGATGCAAACAAGGGGGCAGGAATCTGATGCATTGGGTGCTAGATGGAAACAGACAGAATGAACGAACATGATTTACATGATCCTGAGTGTCCCCTTGTTAAATCTGCCCATTCGCTGTTTCACAGGCTCGGAGTGAAGTTCTGGATACACTCAGTTTTGGATAACAGCATGGGCTGTGGAGTTTGCAGGTCTGCATCTGAATCCCAGCTCCTTTCAAGCTGAGTGATCTTGGACAGGTCCTTAAAACTCTGTGGGGCTCAGTGTCATCCCCCGTGAGATGGAGATCATCATAGTACCCACACCTTTAGCCCAGGTGACCAGAATGATCTCAAGAGGGGACAGTCAGCTCAAGCTTCCACAGCTTGAGCTTCCACTTCAACTAGATGTCATGGAGCCTTTATTATCAAACTAAACAAGAATCCCTTCTGAGGGGAGAGATTCTCTGGGAAAGAGCCAGGTATCCCGTTATGTGAGAAACCCTCAGTCAGGTTCAGTGCCAACTACAGGCATTTTCACCCTGGCCGGGCAGAACTCTGCGGGATTCAAACCAGGACATTCCAGGAATTCACGCATTTACCCAGAGAGCATTTAATATGTCTGAATTATGTGTAAGACCCTGTGCTAAGGGCAATCAAAGTTGAATACAAATTAATAAGGCATATTTGCCCTTCAGGAACATATTCTATTTGGGTGCTCTGGATTCCTGTGTTTGACAGTAACCATGCACAAAAATGTTCAGAACCTGGAGAGGTGGCAGGGGCTGAGGAAGGTAAGATGAGGAGTCAGGCTCAGTGAGTGTGATCCTCACCCCTGGCAGTGATCTGGAAGTATGAGTGGGTTTGGGATGTGTGGAGACAGAGGAATCCCAGGAGAAGGAGTAGGATGAAGAAAGGAAGCAAGGGTGGGGGCATATGCAGAACGAGGGATGAGTCCGCTGGGCCAGGGAGAGTCAAGGTGGGAAGCAGAGAGTGTGCAGCCTCTGTGGTCATCTAAGGACTGTAAGTTGGATTTGGTGGGGGCTGCAGAGTTGGTTGTGAGGGATTTTGAGCAGGAGAGTTGGTAGGTGGGTCAGAGTTATATTTTAGCAGAATTATGTGGCAGTGATGGGTGTGATGAATGGAATTCCAAGTGTCATAGCAATGAACCTTTTCATTATAAGTCTATTCAGCCTTGAGCCTTGAACCCTTTCCCTCTTTTTAAGCTGAGAAAGAGATGGTCTCTTTAGAGACACTTTCAGCTTCTTTCTCCTCGTATAGATTTGAACTCTGCAGGGTTACGGATGCCTTTCAAAGTCTACGCAGATCAGAACAAGAAAGTTAGCCTTTCCCATTGCTTCTTTGTGAGTGGCTGGGTGTATGGCCTTCCTCTCTATACCTGTTCAAAGATTTCACGAACAAAGAAGTATCGGCTGAGGTTGGAGCTGTAGGAGTTGAGTTCTTTCAGTACGATCGCTGGGTACTCCATCACTTCCTTTGTCAAAAGGTCATGGAAACATTCGTACCTGGGAGGAAGGTAGGTGGGACCACTGTCTACAAAGGCTTGGCTGAGTGCGGGAGACCCCAGCTGGGAGTCACACCCATGACCCCAAGGAGGTGGGCTGGAATCTGGCACTTAGCTCTGCATAGAGCTGGCTGTATGGGTGCTCTTTTCACAGTAACAGTCCTTAGTTTGTCTTGCTATTTTTCATACAAGGATCATACAAGAAATATATACTGTTAGTAGAAAATTTGGAAAACACACGAGAGTTTTCTGCCTGTTGTCACGTTAGCCCCCTTTTCCTGACCACAGTCCTAACCCTGCTTTTGAACTTTACAGTATCTAATTTATCCCATAAAACCCTCAAACACCTCAAGCCCAGACTTTCATCTGTTTCTCAGATATGGAGATTAAGGTTCAGGGGGTCACCTACTTGCCTAAAGTTACACTTCTGATTCAAAATACTGCAATAAATTGGCAGTGCCATTCCATTTTTGTGAATGGTTTTTACAGAATCAGTTGTATTTATACAAAGTCACAAAGACACAAGAAATTTCACAGAGAACTGTTTGTAATATGGAAAAATTGGAACCAATTGAAAACAGCTAATTTACTGGGGGATAGTTAAATCACTATAAAGTACTTACGTTAATGGATGCTATATGGTCATTTAAAATTGAAATATATCTGCAGTTATGGAACAATTTGCATAGTATAGTCCCACTTTTACTTTACAAACATTTTACATGTGTATATAGTCATATACATAAGTGTATATGTCCATACAAAATAGTTGGGCAGGAATGAGGGGAGAATATGTGTTTGTAGTAGCTAACTTTTTCCCCTTTAATAAAGGACAAACATGTTTAAATTTTAGAAAGGGGCCTCATATTCTTGACCTAAAACTGCATTACGTTGAAACCTCCCTCCACAGACTTTTCAAAATTCTCCCTGGGCGCTTCCTTGCTGGCTGAGAGCAGAGCTGCAGAGTGCCTCAATGTTCTCCACAAGTAGAAGAACAATTTTCATCTTAAGTTTGCCAGGCAGACTCCTGGGCTCCCATGCAGGCTGCCTGTGACCTTGATGATGAATTCCAGACCATCCCCTCCTGTCTTTTGGGGTTTGGCTGGCTTACCTGGATTTCATGGTCTTCAGAAAATCTTTGGCCTTTTCCAGGTGAAACGCCAGTTTTTCTTTGTGGCTCTGCTGCCTCAGTTGATCCAAGAGTATATCAAGGTGGGCTTCCTGGGCCTGGCAGCCACCCCCAAAACAAAAGAAAGCAGACATGCCTCCAGAACTCAGAGTGTGAGTAACCTGCAGGGAGCTTGCCACTGGCACTGAGGTGCAGGCACCAGGGCAGGTTCAGGACTTCCTTTCTACAAATGGACACCAAATGAGTGAGAGCCATTGCCCTCGTCCTCTCCACTATAGGCCTCTGGACTCTTCTCTGTGCCTGGAATGTTCTTTGCCCACTACACCCGATGACCCAGCTCAGGTGGGACTCCTTGGGGACATATGAGTCCTGTACTACATCTTCCTGTGGCACCTACTGCTCACTCTCCTTCTCATCAGTCGTGAAATCAGACTCTGAGTTTATTCCACCCTAGACTGTGTGAGGGCAGTAAGGGTGGGGGCCAGCTAATCTCCTGTGGGGGCGGGTGATTGCTAGACACAGGCTCCTTTCCCTCTGTTATGGAGCTTTGGCTTGATTCCAAACATGGACGCAGCTTAAAACGACACATGTTTTGCTATAATAAGAACTAGGAGTGTCTTCCCCCTTCCCTCCAAGAATGTGATGTCTTATCAGACCCCATATGTAAGAAACTTGGAGCTATTCCCCTCTCCCCTTGGGAATGTGACATCACTGTTATCAGATCCCATCTGTGAGTTACTGCCCTCAACTACTGGACTTCAAAAAATTTTCTTTGTGTGGCAGTAAGTCATGTGATTTGTGATATCATATTTTAATCATTTCCTTATTTTAACTGTCTATCTCTCTCTCTCTCTCTCACACACACACACACACACACACACACACACACCATCTTACAGATACGTTTGGTTCCAGGGACCTATTACACAGCTGGGATCTGGCTCAAGGAGATTTCTGCTACATCCGGTGCCATGACCAAAGCAAGCCTCCATTTCCCCATCTGTACAAGTTTCACAGCTTAAGGTTTTCCATATGGGTCTAGGATCTGTTTGCATTTGTTTTTGTTTGTGGTGTGAAATACGGAGACAGGTGTAGATGCTCTAGGCTCATCCCCCTGACTCCTCCCAGCCACTGGCAGACACAGGTGCAGCCCAGAATCCAGGCTGTGGGTGCTCCTTAGCCCTTGCTGACCCCTACAGGGTCAGCACCTGGTTCTCCAGACTGTGCTTCTGCCGGTGCCGCTCCATTCTCTTCTCCAGCTCCAGCTCCCGCACTGACAGCTCGTGCTGGTGTGTCTCCCACAGATGTGCCACCGCCTGGAAGTAGCTGAAGAGGTTTGAGCTCTGCCACTCCGCCTGCTTCACCAGGGCCTCAAAGGATTTCTGTAGTGGAAGAGCCCAGAGAAGGAGCCTTGAGGACCAACCAGCCCAAGGCCAGGTCGGAAGGTGCATCCCTGGGACCCGACATCTCCAACAACTGCACAGATCAGCCCAGGCACTGTTCCTCAAGGTCAACTTTTGTGCTATACTTGGGCTTCTGGCCCTCTCTCCCTGGGGTAGCATTTCTGTTCTGCTCAAGGCCATGTCTTGGTCTGGCTGACTCTGAAGTCTTATCTCTAGACCTTGCCTGTGCCCCACAAAAGTTATTGATGGGAAGAAGATGGTATTCGGGCCTAGGAGAAATAAGATCCATCCCAAGAAACCAGCCTTGGCACTGAGGTGGGCCACAGCGATATTAGCCTGAGGCATCTTTCCTTCTCTGGAGTTTCCTGACTCATAGCAACTGGATCAAACACCACACCACTATTAAATCCTCTCTCACCACTTACCTTTTAAAGAAAAATGTGTGTCTTATGCCCTCGTCTGGGTCAGGGGTTGGCAAACTGGCCTGTAAGCTAAATTTGACCTTCTGCTCATTTTCGTTTGGCTCTGTGAGCTAAGTATGGATACTCCAGTTTTAGATGGTTAGAATAAAAAATAAAAAAAGATATTTAATGAGGTGAAAATGATATGAAATTCAAATTTCAGTGTCCATAGGTAAAGTTATTGGAGTCCAGGCACGCGCTTCATTTCTGCATTGCCTAAGGCTGCTTTTGTGTGACACTGGCAAAATTGACAAGTTGTGACACAGACTTGGCCCATAGAGTCTAAAATAGTCACTCTTCGGCCCTGCACAGAAAACATGAACTGACTCCAGCTCAAGATAATTAGTGTCTTAAGCTGGGGGCTTATTGCACCTCCACAGCCCTTCAGCTCCCAGGGTCAGCAAGGACTGGGAGTTCTTCACAGCACCTATGTCTGCAGGCAGCTGGGAGGAGTCAGGGGGATGAGCCCAGAGCATCCAGCACAGGAGGGCTGCTCTGAGAAAGGCTGGTGAGATCAAGGGTGTACGTGTACACACTAGGCACCCAGCTCTAGGTCCCAGACTCCACTCTTCCTCCCTACCCAGCTCCCCAGCTGCCCAGGTTCCCACCACATACATCCAAGAGCTCCAGGTCTTCCTCCACCTTGCTCTGGAGTGCTCCCACCATCTGGAAGAAGGACTGGTTCACCAGGGTCTCTGCCTCCACCTCAGTGAAGACTTTCCAGTCCAGCAGCTGCTTCTGGGGGTAGGGAGACAAGGGAGAGTCTGGCTTAGGGCTGCAGGCATAAACCATAACCCATGAGCCTCAGCGTTGCTAAGTCAGACCTGGGCGGAGTGGACAGAAAAGTGGGGCCTGACAGTGGGGCAGCCCTGCCTCTGAAAGGGATAATTGTTGCAGTGACCTCTAGGACACAACCCCATTCATAGACAATACCCAATGCTGTGCATGACAGAGTCAAGGGGTGACGTCTGAGGTGGTCTGAGGGTGCACGCTTCATCCCACAAGGGTTTTCTGGAGGAGGTGATGGTCTAAAACCTGAGGGATGGCAGGGCTAACTGGGGAGAGGTTCTGGGCAGAAGGAACAGCTTCAGAATGCCCAGAGGCCCGCGAGCTCCTGGGCTGGTGAGGAAGGAAGAAAAGCCTGGATCTAAGCTGAAGGGTGTGTGGGGGTGGAATGGGGGCAAGGCTGGGAGGGGCCAGCGGGGGCAGGGCCAGGGAGACCACAGCAGGCCCCACCCAGGCATTCCTTTCCTCAGGGAGGGTGCACCTTGCAATTCTGCACTTGGGCCAGGCACTCCTGCCAGGTCTTCTCGTATAGCAGGCGGATCCTCATCATGCAGTCCGTGTGGTAGGTGTCTGTATGGGCAGAAAACCAAACATGTCAACCGCTCTTCCAGAAGGAAAGGGAAGTTGGAAAGAGAGGTGGCCCCTTCGCAAAGGAACGAAGTGCTCCCATAGCAAAGCTTGATTAGGCAGAGATCAGGGATTGTGATTCAGGTCAGGGGTGGTATCTCTCCCCTTACAAAGTTCCTGACACCTCAAGGTAAGGACCTCAATGAGGAGCTCGTCTGTATCTGTTCAGAAGCCATTCTGACCCTGATTCTTGGCTACTCAGTTTCCAGGTTGGTGAAATTCCTTTTGAGAGACTGCAACAAGTCATAAACCAGTAACAAAAATGCAAACGAATGAGTGTTTGCTGATCCTCTCTGTGGTTGATTCCTGAGGAGGTGAAGGCACCTGAAGAAGTGAATATCTCTCTATCTATCTTCTCCCTCTCTCCTCCCCATTTCCCAGTTTACAATAACCTCAGTGAGGCTCTAGTGTCTAAGATAAGAAACTCAAGTTTAGAGCCCCTGGTAGTTTCTAGAAGTTGAAAGACCACACAGAGATTGTGTGGTGCTTGTTCTTTCACAAGGGCTGGGGAGAAGGGAGGGGTGTATGGCAGTTGGATGTAGGTTTGGGACACCGGGGAGGGTTGATTCTCACTGGAACTGGCAAGAACAAACTCTAAAGCTGCTTTCTCCAGTCCCAAGGGCATTCTCCACCCTTCCGTGAGGTCACTGTGATGGACTCTCCCAAGTCCCCCACTTCCACTCCTACACCCTCCTCTGAGCCATTTGCCCCCTCATTACACCTAGCTCAGAACCTTCCAGTGGATTCCCACTGCTTTCCGGATAAAGCCCAGACTCTTCTATGTGACCTGTGAGGCCTGCAGAGTACAGGCTCTTTGCATCTTCCACCCTTCCCTGCCAGCTTCTCCTTTCCCTGAAGACACAGCTCTGGTTTGCCTCTTGTCTTCCCCCTCTTGGCCCGGCCGACTCTTACTTGCCTTGCAGGCCTCGTCTGGATTATCACTTCCTTGGCAAGGTGTTCCATGACCTCTAGCCAGCTGTGTCCCCTGGTGAACTCTGGGTTTGCCAGTCCACTCTGCTTGATCTGACTTCTGCTCTGCTTGAGGGCAGAGCCACCTGCTGGTTGCCAGAGCCCAGCACAAAACCTGTCCCTAGGAGGTACTAAATGGACAGCAGCCATTATAGCTATTATTTAGGGTCTCAGGACTTGTACAGTAAAACCGTGGGTATTATACACCTGAGAGCCCTAGAAGCAATGGTGGACACTACTAACCAAAGTACCCAGGTTAAATCCAGTTGTGACACTTCATTGGCTGTGTGACCTTGGGCAGGATACCTCACCTCTCTGTGCTTCTGAGTCCTTCTCTATTACAAGAAGACAGTGATACCACTGGTTGCTTTGATCCTCAAAGGAGATGGAATATATATTATATATCATCTAGAGTAAGGCTTGGCAAACTTTTTCTATAAGGGGCTAGAGAGTAAATAGTTTTAACTCTGTGGCCATATGATCTCTTGTAACTACAGTTGCTCCTTGACTTATGATGAGGTTATATCTGAATAAACCTACCATAAGTCGAAAGTATCATAAGTGGAAAAAGCATTTAATACTCCTACCAAACATCATTGCTGAGCTTAGCCTCCCTTGAATGTGCCCAGAATACTTCCATCAGCCTACAGTTGGGCAGTTCATTGGGCAACAGTGCACTGTAGAGTTTGGGTGGTTTACCCTTGTGACCACGGTGCTGACTGGGCACTGCAGTCACTGCCACTGCCCAGCATTGAGGGCATCTTACCAAATATTCCGGTACATAGCCCAGAAAAAGAGTAAAATTCAAAATGTGAAGTACGGCTTCTACTGAATGCATATCACTTTCACACTGTTGTTAAGTCGAAAGTTTATAAGCTGAGTTATCGTAAGTTGGGGACCATCTGTACTCACTCCTGTCATTTAAAGCAAAAGCAACCCGGCAATATGTACACAAATGAAGTGGCTGTGTTTCAACAACCAAAATGAGCAACCAGCCCACAGGTTGTAGTTATAGAGTTATATAACCCTTGTTATACAACTTTTTTTTTTTTTTTTGAGTTGGAGTCTCACTCTGTCGCTCAGACTGAAGTGCAGTGGCTGCTCCCAGCCTGCTGGGCTCCTGTGATCCTTCCACCTCAGACTTCCGAGTAGCTGGAATTACAGGCACACGCTACCATGCCTGGCTGATTTTTTTGATTTATTGTAGAGATGAGGTCTCGCCAAGTTGCCTAGGTGGGTGTTGAACCCGCGGGCTCAGGCAATCCACTCACCTCAGCCTCCCAAAGCGTGGGATTACAGGCTGAGCCACCAAGTCCGGCTGTTATAGAACATTTTAAACATGACGGTTTATGATTTGGCACTCTCTATATAATCCAGATCTACCCCTGGACATAAACCCCACAAGTAGGAACCACTATTATTCCTCTTGAAATCCCTATTTTATGGAGGAGGAGACTGAGGCATGAGAGGCTCTGACTTCCCCAAGGTCACAGAGCCAGGGCAGAGCAGAGCTGGGTGTCCAACCCATGTCTCTCACTGTAAGACTATATACTTCACCTCATACTCTCAGGACACGCCTTCTGAGCTATTTTCAGAGATGGTCATTGGAGCCATCTCTTTGCCTCCATACCTGGGACAGGGGTCACAGTGTGGCAGTGAGCAGGGAAGACCATGGAAAGGGAGGAGAGGGCTTATGAGCCCTCAGAGCTCACTTTCCCTTCACAGCTCTGTCCCTCCTCCCTAGGATGGAGATGTCATCCACTTCCTCTCAGATAAATGACTGACTAGCTGAGCTACAATAAAGCTGCTACTTGAACAGAGTTCTGGAGAGACCCAAGAGGAGTCTCAAAAACATCACTCACCGAGCTGCTTGTTCAGGGAGTCAAGACAAGAACGCCACTCACTTAGCTGAGTTTTGTTGTAATTGGGGGGCAGGAAATCACTGGGAAAGAAACATATGACACATAAGCCACACACGAATGAAAGGTCTGCTTAACAAAACGTGTAGCATCTTCAAGGAACATAGCTCCAGAAAATTATTAACTTAAATACTGAAGAAATCAAGGGTGCCTGCATAATGAACATTTGTATACCTAACCCTGAATTGTACCCCATGTGTAGGAACCTACACTGGCCTCCTAGGAGCTGAGAGAGCATGTGGAAAGAGTCCCAGGTTGACTCAGTGGAGGTTCCAGATGGAAGAGAGGCCATCCTACCTCACCAAGCCCTGGTCAAGCCAGCACAGACCAGGAGAACTACCAAGTTGGCTCACAGAATTGTGAGAAATCAGAAATGATCGTTATTTTAAGACACTACATTTTGGGTGGTGTTGAATGGTGTGGAAAGATGCATATAGCTAGAAGTACCATATGATGTATTTGTCCAAACCGGGAGATTTTTGACAGCAAAAGGGATCACTAATGATTACCAGGACAAGATGTGTAACTCAGTGTGGTCTTAGGCAAAGCTGGGTTCTGGTCACCCACTTAGGATGGGACGGTAAAGAGCAAAAGGCAGGCACAAGAGTATGTACCATATGATGTATTTGTACTTCACCAACTCAACACTAAGCATCGTGCTTAATGCAACATGGACTCCCAGAACAGGAAAAGGATGCCAGAGGAAAAACAGGTGAAATCGAGATAAAGTTTAGTTAACAGGATGCATCAAAATTAATTTCTTAGTTTTGACAAACATCCGACAGTAGTGTAAGATGGTAACATTAGGGGAAACTGAATGAGGCATTAGGGTTAGGAATTCTGTGTGCTATCTTTGTAACTTTTCTGTAAATCTAACATGATTCCAAAACACAAATGTCGTTTTTTGAAAATTATTTGAAAATTATGTACACATATACTTGTTGAGGCCAAGAATATCCATGGGATTCTCCTGGGCCTTTGGATATCTCCCTCTCGAGTCCCCAGGGAATCTTATCTAGACTCCCCTTACCCCCATCTGCCATCACCACTGCATGCTCCCTGCAGGGCCTGAGGATCCCACTCAGGTTTCTGGGGCTCTGGGATTCCTGGAGGAAGGGCCTAGAGCTGTGGGCCAGGATGGGTGTGGGATTCCTCATGCTGCCCTATGAGGTAATCCCCTGGGAATCTCATAGGGGTTGATTAGGAGGTTTCTCGATGCCTAACAGGTCATGGGGGAATGGGGGCCATCTGCATGGTGGCATCTATGGGCACTATCAAGGCCGCAAGCCCCAGCCTTCCCTGCTGACGTTCACTTGTGTCTATGATCAAGGTTTTGTAACTTTACCTTTAGGCCTGCATGCTTGAGCCATGTGTTCATGGTACACACTTCTGGACCCTAGAGTTTTGTCCTGACCTCACCTCTCCACCTACTCCCACAGCGAAGGAGTTGCATGGTCCTGCCAACATCCACTCTCCCTTTGGTTGACAGAGTTACCCCCTCTCTTCCAAGCCAGGTTCAACAGCCTGCCCACCTCCTCCAGCAGACAACACCTTTGCACAGTGTCCCCAGCGGTGGCAAGAAGTATCTACACATTTTTCTCCCTGTGTTTGGCTTCATCTCTCCCCTCCATTCCAGACAGGTAGCCAGCCAGTCCACACTGACGGCCTATGAGAGGCACGTGGCGGGGCAGAGAAGAAAGAAGCCCAGAAATCTTTCTGGCTTTTGTTTTCAAAAGCATGATTTCTTAGAAAAGTCTAACACGTTGTCTTTTTCTCTCAATGGAAAAAGCAAAGAATGTATGGCCACCTTTGATCTATTACAGAAGGCTTCTCTGAGGAGGCAATATTTGTACTGAAATCAATCATGGGAAGTAGCCAGCAATGAAAATAATAATGAAAAGCATTTTAGGTAGAGGGGTTGATGGGAGTGGGTTGAGAGCCCTGGGACCAGGTGTTTCCCTAACTCTAATAGAAAGGGGCTGGAGGGCAAATGTGAACAGAGAAGGACCGGCAGTGCCCAGCAGTGGCGGCCTGGATTTTGCTTCCTGGTTGCACCATGGGAACAGCTGCAAGACCTGGGGGGCCCTGGAGGGAGATGTCACCTAGGTATGAAGACTCAGGGCTCAGAGCAACCCCTGATATTCCTGCGTCCAGCTGTCTGAGGAACAAGAGTCCAATGGCATCAGAGTGAACCTATCACCGAGATCCAGACACCCCAACAGCAGCCCTGACATTGCATGAGATTCCAGAACTTTGCCTCAAGGAATGGGACCCCAAGAAAGAAAGAGTTTTGCCCAGCTTAAAGAACAGGTGCTCAGACTCAAAATAAGTTGAATTATAGAAAACAATACAAGAATTTTTTCTTGTCCTGAGATGTGCATCCACCTTGTTAATTTTACTTATGGGTCAAAATGGAACTACCCATGGGGAAGGAGGCGTCTGCTTGGGGGAGACCCTCTGGCTCAAGTCATATGGGGTCCTAACTGTTGTTTATATCTTAGGAGGGCCTAGGTGGGAAGATGAGAAAAACCTGAGCCCCAGCGTTCCCAGGGTGGGAGGGACCAACAAGGTGCATGAAGATAGGAGGAACATTTCCCAGATGCACAGTGTCTCCACTTTGCAGCATGGTGCAGGCTCCATCCTGCTGCTAAGGATGGCGGCTACGGACTCCCCAGGCAGTGGACTTCCAGGGTCTAGAACATTCAGTGGGCACCCCACCACATAGCCTTAGATTATGGGATCAGAGTTGGGTGGACCCACATCTGAGAAGAGCATTCATAGCTCCTAACAGATGCCCTGTCTGATGGCAGCAGCCTCCTCGCCTAGGTCCCAGCCTCCAGTGTCAGACTCTCTGACCCACATTCCAAACCGCAAAGCTCATGGAGCCACTCTGTTCCCCACTGCCCTCAGGAAAAGGTCTCAATCTCTTCACCTGGCTGAAATCCTGCATGGCCTGCCCCCTACCTCCTCCTCCCTCAGCCCTGTTCATTGCCTCTTCCAAGCATTCGGCAGTAGTGCTGCACTTCTTTCTGCAGCAAACAGGTCATACTCTTTCTTGCCATTGTGTCTGGAATGCCCCAGAACCTGGGTCCAAGTGGCCAGCCCAGGACCAGAGAGCTGGAGGATGACCTGTCTAGTCTGGAGAATGCCTCAAGGAAAAGACTGAGGGTCACGCTTGCCTCCCCCACCCGATCCCCAAAGGTCCTCCTCCTGAGTGACACCTCTCCCCCATACCAGATGGTGCAGAGATGCTGTAGCCGCTTTTGCTGCAGGGATTTCTGGGTCTCCAGCATGGCCTGCAGCTCCTTCTTTACAGCCGGGGGAGCCCGGATATTCTCATTGGCCAAGAACTCCCTGGGTAGCCAGACATGTTGGCACCATGAAGGGGAGAAAAGGGTATGAGGTGGGTATGAGGGAGGGGAGGAGACCCATGATGAGAGCATTCAGAGCCCCAGCACCCTTTCCCTTGCACCACCCTCAGCCCCTTCCCCCCGAGCCTCTGCCTCCCCTCTAGGACACTGAAGAAAGGAGAGAAAGAGAGTGGGTAGCAGAGAGGAGGGAGGAAGGAAGGGGTAAAGGGAGGGATTTCCAGTGCACGAACAGCAAAGGGCCAGCAGGCTCAGATCTAGTGGGTGCCCTGACCGCCACCTGGCTACTCTGTGACTTTGGACACGTCCTTCTCCCATTCTGCCCATCTTCTGTAAAATGGAACTAAGGATCCATTTTACAGGGGTTCTCACATGGGCACCCTCAGCATGAAAGTGGAGACAGTCCTTCATCAGTACTTGTGAAGACTCAGTAAGATGATGCAAGCAAAGCCCATGCTTGACTCATGGGAAATGCCCAGTGAACATCAGCTATTGCCATCACTGCTGACATTGTTTGACATTTATAATGGCTTCCCAGGCCCAGACAGGCACTTTCCATCTAGTATCTTGTTGGATGTCTGAAACCCTATCACAGGTACATTATGATGCCTGTTGTTCTTAGGAAGAGATAGGCTCCGAATGTTCAAAGGTTTCATCAAGGTCACACTGAAAGGCAAGGTGGAGCCAGTCCTCGGTACATTTTTCATTCATTGCTCACATAAATGATGCTTGGCAGAGGAGGTGTGCAGATGGGCCCTCTCTTCACCCTCCCTTCCACAGAGGAAACTTGCTCCTGAAAGGGTAGGAAGTATCTGCCTGAAAGATATCCATTCACCCGGGCCCAGTATCCACAGGGTTATGAATAATAAAGAGAGGAAATAATGCATAAAATCAGAAGAATGTTTTCTAACTATTTGTATTGAATTCAGAGAATTCATAACGAGCTCATAACATAAGGCTCATTAATAAAATGAGATATAAAACTGCATATACTATATGGGTCTAAAAGAGCTTGGGAGAAAATATACCAAGGCTAGGCATGGTGGTTCACACATATAATCCCAGCACTTTGGGAAGCTGAGGCGGGAGAATTGCTTGAGCTCAGGAGTTCGAGACCAGTATAGACAACACAGCAAGATCTAATCTCTACAAAAAAAAAAAAAATCAAAAAATTAGCTGAGTGTGGTGGTGTGTGCCTGTAGTCCCAGCTGCTCAGCAGGCTAAGGTAGAAGGATTGCCTGAACCCAGGAAGTTGAGGCTGTGGTGAGCTGTAATAGTGTCACTGCACTCCAGCCTGGGCAACAGAGTGAGAACCTGCTTTAAAAAAATACACACACGTACACACACACGCACATAAGCTGAGCTTCTCACGATGGGACAGGATTAGTGCCGATTTAAAATTTTTTTCTGACTTTTTAAAAAAGGGCATGGAAAAACAGCATTTTTAAGCAATGACAAATAGAGAGAATGTCACCCCAACCCACACTGGCCCCAGCAGGCCAGGGGAAGAGCTGTGGGCAGGGAACAGCCACCGACCTGAAACTCTGCAGCAGGACATCTTTCTTGAGGGCCTTCCAGTTGTCCACCAGGCCCTGCCAGCGGTGGCGGCTGTCCAGCTCCTGCTGCAGGGTGGCCTCCATCAGGTTGACAAACAGCTGGGCGAGGGCCCTCCGGTTGCCCAGCAGGGCATGGTTCATGATCTGTGGACATAGGTAGGCGGGGCTCTAGATGCGGTAGAGCTTTCTCAGGTCAGAGCAAGGCTCAGTGAGAGGGGGGACAGGGAAGGTACAGGTCAAGGGCAGAGTGAGACGGTGGCACAGGAAGCTGCCCACCTGAGCAGATATGGACAGTCATAAGGGTCTTCCTTGAAGGCTTAACCATGGATCCTGACCACGAGCTTCACCCTTCCAAGGCCACATCAGAATGTTTGATAAAGAAGGTGAAAGAAGTTAAGCACTCAGTGAATTATAAGTATTTACTCTTTCTTTGTAAATTTATTCCTGCCTGGACGCAGTACCTCATGCTTATAATTTCAGCACTTTGGGAGGCCGAGGTGGGAGGATTGCTTGAGCCCAGGAGTTTGAGATCAGCCTAAGCAATATAGCGAGGCCTCGTCTTTACAAAAAATAAAAAAGTTAATTTGGTGTGGTGGCATGTGCCTGTAGAACCAGCTACTTGGGAGGCCGAGGTGGAAAGATCACCTGAGCTCAGGGTGTCAAGGCTGCAGTGAGTTGTGACCATGCCACTGTACTCCAGCCTGGGTGACAGAGTGGGACCCAGACTCAAAAAAATAAAAAATAATTTTTTTCCAAAAGCAGAATGTTCATACCATCAGGGACCAGGGACCAGCCACATATGGTTGTTATGAGAACTGGGACCCAATGACCAAATGAGGTCAGAGCTGGAACATTCTTCAGCAGTCCTCCCAGGGGTTCTCACATGGGCACCCTCAGCGAGAGGGGGTCAGTCCTTCACTGTGTGGCACTGTTCTGCCCTTTAGTATCCCTGCCCTCCTCAGATGCAAGTAGCTCCCCTCATTCCCCTCACATGCAGGAACTGCCCTAAATGCTCCCACACATTTCCCAAAGCCCTCTAGGGAGGTGTCAGTGCCATGGGACAGGGGTGAGAACTCTGCCTCATTCAGCAGGTAAAAATCTTAGTAATGCTTTTCAGTGAAGCTTGAGGTTTGATGCCAGTGGTACTTCCTAGCTGGGAGGCATTGGCAAGTATTTCCTCGGCTTCCAGATCTGAAGTCACAATATGGGGATAATGCTATTTACAGCATAGGGATCTTGTGAAATTAAAGGAGACAGATGCACATAGAACACATGGCAAATGCTGGTTGTTATAATGAGTATAAGAAAGTAAAACTGAAATGTATCAAGGATACAGAAAACCCTGATTCTCCTAATGGATGATCTCTCGCTGATCTCAAGAGAGCTACCACTGCTGAACCCCTCTTTTATTTTTAATTTTAAAAATTTATTTATTTATTTTTGAGTCAGAGTCTCACTCTGTCTCCCAGGCTGGAGTGCAGTGGCACCATCACGGCTTACAGCAGCCTCGACCTCCTGGGCTCAGGTGATCCTCCCACCTCAGCTTCCTGAGTAGCTGGGACTATAATGAATGTTACCATGCCCAACTAATTATTTTTATTTTTGTAGAGATTTTGGTTTGCTATGTGGCCCAGGCTAGACTTGAACTCTTGGCCTCAAGAGATCCTCCTGCCTAAGCCTCCCTTTCATAGTGTTGGGATTGCAGGTGTGAGCCACTGCACCTGGTCTCTGAGCCTTCTTTTATTATCCTCCTAGCAAATCCTGGCAGATCAGTATTACAGATGACCCCCAACTTGACGGTTTGACTTAATAATTTTTTTCAGATTTAAGGTAGGTTTATGGAGATATTAAATGCATCTTTGACTTATAATAGGTTTATTGGGATGTGGCCCCATCGTAAATGGAGGAGTAACTTGTATTATCCCTGCCTGTGCTATGTCTAGGATACCACGGCACAGACCTGGGCTGGACCTGTCTGCGATTCTGAGCACTGTCCTCTGAGCCTGCTCTGCTGCCAGGAAGCCTGTTATCTGGCAAGCTCAGTTCTCTGCACAGGACCAGGAAACCCACAGAAGCAAAATGTGCATTTGAGCAGCTAAAAGAAGAGTTCTTTCTTCAGCAGAGAGGTAAGGCTTTACTCTGACTCTGGAGACATTGTGCTCAATCTTGAATTGTGTATTTTCCACCCCAAGGAAAGCAGCTGGGGAAGGCTTGGGGGTGTGGACTGGGGAAGTAGTGGGGACAGAACCAAGAGGCAGGCATAGTTTAGCAACAGGCACTGACTGCTAGTAAGAAGAGAGGCAAGAATGGCTAGAAAAACCGGACAGAGCAGGTCACTCATGAGGGTGCTTCAAGACCACAGTAGCTCCAAGATGGTGATTTCATAGGGTAGCGCCTACTGCATTGCATACAGTAGCTGAGACACGGCCCAGGAGGTGCTTGGTAAAATCATCAGTGCTCAATACGATGGCCCTGGCTTAAGATGACAGGGAAGTATGAAAAGTACTTGAACAGAATTTCTATTGAAAATGCTTACAGGACTGTCCTTGGTAGCTCACACCTATAATTTCAGCACTATGGTAGACCTAAAAGGGAGGATTGCTTCAGTGAGACCATGACTTTACAAAGGAAATTTAAAAATTAGCTGGATGTGGTAGTGAGTGCTTGTAGTCCCAGCTACTTGGGAGGCTGAGGCAGGAGGATCACTTGTTCCCAGGAGGTTGAGACTGCAGTAAGTTATGATCTTGCTTCTGTACTCTAGCCTGGGGAAAGAGTGAGATTCCCAACTCAAAAAGTAAAAAGATAGAGGGAGAGAGACAGAGAGAGAGAGAGAGAAAAGGAGGGAGAGAGGGAGAGAGAGAGAGAGAGAGAGAGAGGGGAAGAAAAAGAAAGAAAGTGCTTACAATAGCTCAGACTCTGATTCCCAACCGAAGAGGCCCACCCAAGTTCCTTAAAAATGTTAGAGACAAAAAGCCTGCCATTTTTGAGAAACCAGGCTTGAAGAACCCTGGGGTCTTGCTCCTTTCCCCATGGGTTAATCCCCACACAGGAAAACCACTTACCATGGCTTCTTTATTTATAATCCTGTATACATCAGGCTGCATGAGGTAAGATGTTTTCTCTATGATTTCCACATATTTCTTCAACACACTTTTTAGCTAGAAACGATAAGTCCCCATGGTTAGTGACTTATGTCCTGGAGCACTAGAAGGAAACAAGGATGCCCAATAGGCCCTGCAAGTGACAACGACCAAGGAGCCCATCTGCAGCCAACTCACTTTATCAGCTCTGGAGAACTCCAGTGAGTGCAGCGCTTCATCCAGCTTCTTAATCTCCTGCTTCTGGAGCAGGAACATATAAGTCACCTTATCCCACAGCTCCAGCAGGGTCTATATGGAGAAGTTTGAGTCAGGCTGGGAGCTGGTAGGAAGGAGGGAAGGAGCAGGGCCCTGGTGGGGCGAGCCTGGCCCCAAAGAGACCCTTACTTGGATGGCGTAGTCTTCGAGGTTGGTGTCATTTTCCATCTTTATAAAAAGGGAGTTGATGTCTTCATCAGACTCAGACAGCTTCTTCAAAAAACATCCCCCTGTCTCCAAGATAAGAGGTTCCATTTCCTGCAACAGACCAGGAGGGCAATGGCCACAGCATCAGCACCTCCCAGGAAGGAGGGAGACTTTTATGCCAGGGGTCCCTAACCCCTTATTAGGAACCAGGATGCACAGCAGGAGGTGAGCAGCAGGTGAGCAAGTGAAGCTTCATCAGTATTTACAGCCACTCCCCAATGCTTGCATTACTGCCTGAACACCGCCTCCTCATGAAGATAAGTGGTGGCATTAGATTCTCATAGGAATGCAAACCCTATTGTGAAATGGGCATGTAAGAAAACAAGGCTGCACACTCATTAGGAGAATCTAATGCATGATGGTCTGAGGTGCTCCCCATTGACACAGTGATGCTAGCACTGGAAGCCGCTGCAAATACAGATTAACATTAGCCATGAAGTTTGACTGCTAATGTTAATCAATTGCTTGCAGACTCATATCAAAAATAATAATTTCACAATTTCATCATAATAATTATTGCATTATATACTACAGTGTAAGGGCAATAGAAATAAAATGCACAATAAATGTAATGCGCTTGAATCATCCTGAAACCATCCCCCCATTGCTGGTCCGTGGAATAACTGTCTTCCGCAAAACCAATCCCTGACACCAAAACAATTGGGGACTGCTGCTCTATGTAGTGGGGAAGTGCAAGGCTTGGTCTTGTCTAAAAAATAATGATCATTATCCAGACCTAAAGAGTTGAGGTTTATTCTTTAACTCCAACCAGAGGACAGCAGCCATGCCATATGCCAGGCACTGTCCTATGCTGAGCCCTCCTTCTAGACCCATTTGATCCTTGTCACAGCCTCTGAAGTGGGTGGTAACATCAGGCCTAGCCTACAGTTGATGCTAAGCAAATATTAATTAGAAAAGTGGCCAAATGAAAGATTGCTTCAGATGAGGAAACTGAGGCTCAGGAAGGTTGCTTGACCAAAGCCACAGAATTCATGGGTAAAAGTAGAGCTTGTATCTAGTTGGGGCATACTGTACTCTAGCCTGGGGAAAGAGCGAGATCCCAACTCAAAAAGAAAAAAGATAGAAAGAGGGAGAGAGAGGGAGAGAGAGGGAGAGAGAGGGAGAGAGAGGGAGGAAGGGAGGGGGAGAGAGAGAGAGAGAGAGAGAGAGAGAGAGAGAGAGAGAGAGAGAGAGAGAGAGCGAGAGCTCGGTAGGGAGCCTGTTCTTGGTATGTCAGGCATAGAACTTGCTCCAGAATCCAGGGTGGGGCAACACAGGTCAGAGAAGACTCAGGGAGAAGAGGATGAATGGAAATCTGGGGCTCCGAGTGACCTGGAAGGGCAAAGGCTGCTCTTGGTTGGGGAACATTCTGGGCACCAGGGTATCTAGAGATGAGGCCTCTGGAGAGGAAAGAGAGCTGAGTATAGGGGAGTACATAAGGGCCCAGCAGCACTGTCAGTGGGGGGTGGGGGGCTCATTCTGCTCCTCAATAGCACTATTGAACAGGGAAGTCAAAGGCTGGGGTTTGTTGTCGGACCTGGAGGGTAGTTCCAACTTGGCTCTTATGTGCTGAGTTAGATGAGACTCTCTAGGCTTCCTTGCAAAATGGGATAACAACAGTACTTGACTTAAAGGGTCTTTCCCAGGGTTACTGGGAGCTATGCTCACAAGTACTCATAATGCACCACTCAGACATGGCTGCTATGATTCTATTCTTGTCTACATCTTGGTGAGCTACTGAGGATCTCCCAGTTGAGGAGGAGGATAGAAGCTGGGAGTAATGGCAGGCCCACCTTTGGAATGGTACAGGAGGGAACAAGAAAGGAGAGGAAGGATGCTCACCATCCCAACCTGCTGTATCTCCTCCTGAAAGCTAGCCAGAGCACTCTCGTAGCTCCTCTTCTTGTGGTCTTCTCGCTCTTGAAGGGTGGTGGTGCTCACTTTCTCAGGAACTGCAGAGTAATAACATAAGGCTGCCCTAAGCACTGCCAGGAGAGGGGAGAGCTCTTGGGAAAAGGCAGAGAGCGCCTGCACTCTGGGACTTGGGTTCAGAAGACGGACCCCACAGCCAGGCCAGCATGGCAGAGAATTAAAGAAAAAGCGAAAAAATGGGCCAGGTACGGGGTCTCATGACTGTAATCCTAGCACTTTGGGATGTCCAAGCAGGAGAATCACTTGAGCCCAGGAATTCGAGACTAGTCTGGGCAACCCAGCAAGTTCTCGTCTCTACAAAAATTTTGTTTAAAAGTTAGCCAGGTGTGGTGGCGCATCTCTGTAGTTAGACTTAGCTACTCCTTGGGAGGCTGAGGCAGGAGGATCACTTCAGCCCAGGAATTCGCGGCTGCAATGAGACATGATGGTGCCACTGCACTCCAGCCTGGGCAACAAAGTGAGACCCTGACCCCTCTCCGCCCATAAAAAAGAGAAAAGATGAAGGTGAGTATTAGAGTATTAGAGGGACCAAGGCCAGATACAGTTAAATGTATATGTAATTTATATTTTAGAAAAAGTTTTATAGAAGCAAATACATATACAAATAATGATCACCAACACTTACAGAAGCCCTTGCCACATAGGGGGTATTGTTCTAACTCAATTAGTCCCCTTGATGAGGCCAAGAGGCAAGTTCTATTCCTAGCTTCATTTTACAAGTAAGGAAACTCAGGCATGGGCATTAAAGAACAAAGTTAATCAGCAGCTGAGCAGGGATCTGGACCAGGGCCATCTGTTCCATGGTCTGTTCCATGTGTACTACTATCCTCAGTATCCAGGTGGAAAGCCATGTGGGTTAACCCAAAGTGGGTAAAGAGGCTGGTGGCTCTCTTTGGAGATGAAGGGATGCATTGTGGAGAGGAGAGTTTTTATTTTCTCTTTCTCTCCTTCCCTTATTTTTCTACAGTGGGCATACGTTACTTTTTTTATTTTTTATTTTTATCCCCTCCAAGTCTCATAGCATTACTTTTTTAATCATGAAGAAAAAGAGCCTCTATATTAGGATAAAGTCAAACTAGGACAATGCCATATGAAGAAAGAAAATGTGGATTAAGCAATACTATTGTAAAACTGCAGGAAAGTGAGTGACATTCTTTAGCCTCCAGTTTTCCATCAGTAAATGCCCACTGAGCAGGCAACCCCTTACTCTCCCCCAGCTCCTGCACGGGAAGGGGTAGGGTGGACTCTCAAGGGAGAATGCTATCTAGGTGGCTGAACAGAGGAATACAATGTGAGCTTTAGGGGCTCCCTCAGAGGAGTTGCCAGGAGAGACCTCACCCCCCCCACCCCAGGACTCTTTCTGGGCCAGGGCAGGCTGCCTGGTGGCTGAACAGAGACTCACCCATTGTGTCCATGAGGCCCTGCACTTCTCGGGCAGCAATGGTGCTCTCACTCTCCAAGGCTTTTTCCCTCTTGGCTATTTCCTTTTCCCTGAGGTACAAGCAGAGAAGGAGAGTTAAGGTCCCAGCTCCCCAATGCCACCCAGGGCAGCTCTGGCACATGAGGGAGTCTCCACAGGGACCACGGGCAGTGGCAATCTCCTGTCAGCAGACACTGTGAATCCTTATGCGAAAATTCGGGTCCCTACCCTCAGGGTAAACCAAACATGGGCGAAAGGCCCAATTCATTTTTCATATGGGGAAACTGAGGCTCAGAAGGGGCATGAGCAGCCCAATGAAGCCAGGCTATGCTAAGTTCTTGGCATGCTTCTTCATTTCCATCTTCAGCAACCCATTCTATGAGGCAGTTGGGGTAACCCCATTTTCCAGGAAGGAGGAAGAGGGCTTAAAGGGCCACTGTATGAAGCAGGCCTGAGACTGTAAGACCAACTCTTATGACACCAAGATCCATGGGGTTTGGGTGAGGGAGGAGAGAACTGGGATTCCAGGATAAACTACTTCCATAGGGAAGACCAGGAGGGTGAATGTGACTGAAGAACACCCTTACTTCTCCATCTCGCAGCCACCTCCTCAGAGAGCTTTCCTGACCCCTGTCCCATAGCCTCTGTCAAAGCCTTCCTGCCATCAGGGAGAATGTACTTATTTCTTCACTTCTGAGGCCTCAAGTTCCATGAGGATGGGATTCCCGCATCCAGTGCCTGGTCCTAGGTACTCCATCAATAATTATTGGGGTGGGAGGGGCAGGGAAGAAACCATCCTGCAAAATAGGTGTTAATACTTCCCTGTTTCAGAGGAGGTACTTGAGACTTCAATCCTACCTGGCATTCATCTTGTGTGAGCTCTTTGTGAGTTTTTGAAGATTCTAGGGTACCCCTAGTATGTGGGGGTAGGGACTGGACAGCAAGACCTACCTGTGGAGAACAGGGTTTTCCGTGACCCAGTCATTGGGGAGGCTGTGCATCCACTTCTGCTGCCGAGGAGACATGGTCTCCCCTTCAGGAATCTCCATTTTCTTCATTAGGGGTGCCCTGCCACTCTTCAAGGTCCCAGCATGCTCTGCGGCCCGATTCCTGGTGGCCACCAGGGAGTGGACCAGCTGTACCTGAATTCAGGGAAAACTGGGGATGGGAGGGCTGTCAGAGCTACTGACTCCCCAGAGACCTCAGGCTGGCTACGCCTGTTTTAGAATGACACCTGGGAACCTGCCACCAGAAAGGCACCTCCCAGGGAGGTCTCAGCCCCAGGGCACTTCCCTGCAGGAGGACTCTCCTTCCCCATTACTCCATTAACAGTCATTCAGTCACTTCTAGGAAGGCCTCTTTAAATTAAAATTTAAAATTTGAATGCAGATGAAGATGCACATCTTAGCCATTTTTATAATCTCAAGGGACTGGAAAAATGGAACTGTATTTTTAGAAGGGAATTGGTTGAGTAAACATGGCATGTCCCTTCAATGGAATGTTAGTTACTAAAGTTGAGACTTAAACAAATAATTTTTTATGACCCTAGGAAATGCTTACAAACTGGTATACAGTAAAATGCATCCGTAAAAGCATAAATTGCCAGGCTTGGTGGCTCAGCCTGTAATTCCGCGCCTTTGGGAGGCTGAGGTGAGTGGATTGCCTGAGCCTGCGGGTTCGAGACCCGCCTGGGGCAGGTGAGACCTCATCTCTACAATAAATCAAAAAAAATTAGCCGGGTGTGGTAGCGCGTGCCTGTAGTTCCTGCTACTTGGAAGGCTGAGGCGGAAGGATTGCCGGAGTCCAACAGGTTGAGGCTGCGGTGGCCAGGAGCGGCCACTGCACTCCAGTCTGGGTGACAGAGTGAGACTCTAACTAAAAATAAATAAATAAAATAAAGCATAAATTAAAATTATAACCAAAATTATACAGTATGACCTCAAAATCTACAATGCATAGAAAAATGACCTGGATGTAAGTATGCCAAGCATTAAGGATGGCCTTATAAGGAGTGGGATTCCAGTAAGAATGGCCATCATTAAGAAAACAAACAACAACAGATGCTAGTAAGGATGCAGAGAAAAAGGAACCCTTCTACACTGCTGGTGGGAGTGCAAACTAGTGCAGCCTCTTTGGAAGACAGTGCGGCGATTTCTGAAAGAACTGGAATTGACCTTCCAAATCACCCAGCAATTCCCCTCTTGGGAATATACCCGGAGGAACTCAAATCATTCTACAAAAAAGATACCTGCACACATGTTTGTTGCAGCTCTATTCACAATAGCAAAAACATGGAACCAACCATCTTACCCATCGAAGCTGAACTGGATTAAAAAAAAACATGGCACATATACACAATGGAATATTATGCAGCCATAAAGAAGGACAAACATATATGGACTTTGCAGCAACTTGGATAGATCGATCATGCTCAGTGATCTATCACAGAAACAAAGAACAGAGTACCATATGTTCTCACTCATAAGCAGACCTTGAACAATCATAATACTATAAGAAAGCAATTGGCAGTAGTGGGAAACTGTCGGGGGGGAGGGGATTGGCAGTTGAGAGAAACTACTAGGGGAGGGGAGCATACCCCATCAACAAGGGTACCTGCATAATCAACGTTTGTATACCTAACCCTGAATTGTATCCCACATCTTTATAATAAAAAAAGGAAGGAGCAGGATAGTGGGAATAATCTAATTGTTTCTTTGATTTCTTTTTATACTTATATACTTCACACTTTTATAATTTCTAGAGATTCTACAGAGAACATTAGTTAAGTCTCAAATTAGTAATGAAAATCTCTTTTAAATAAGCAGTATAGAACTTCAAAGACGGGGTTCAGGTGTGTGTGTGTGTGTGTGTGTGTGTGTGACCTCCATGGTGGTCAAGGGAGTTAAGGGAGTCCTAGATTAACTAGCAAGCAGTCATAATCATTGTCAAGTACATGGATGCCCATGGGCATGGAAAAGGGTCCCGAGATACTGTTAAAGAGAAAAAGCAGGTTTCAAAACACAAGTACAGAATGAACCCTGTTGTTTAAATAGAAAAATTAGAAATGCTTTTATGCATGGGGGAAAAAATACAGGGGACCCAAGGGTTCATCCAAACTATTTCTGAGGAATTTAAATTTACTTTTTTTAAAATAAATTTTATTTATTTATTTATTTATTTGTTTTTTTGAGTTGGAGTCTCACTCTGTCGCCCAGACTGGAATGCAGTGGCCACTCCCGGCCACCAGAGCCTCGACCTGCTGGGCTCTGGCGATCCTTCCACCTCAGCCTTCCGAGTAGCCGGAATTACAGGCGCGCGCTACCATGCCCAGCCAATTTTTTTTTATTTATTGTAGAGATGAGGTCTCGCTGCCCAGGCGGGTCTCGAACCCGCGGGCTCAGGCAATCCACTCACCTCAGCCTCCCAAAGGCGCGGGATTACAGGCTGAGCCACCGAGCCCGGCTGGAATTTAAATTTAAATCTTTAAGTTTTCTAGTTTTCAAGAATAGTCATTTAATTTTGTATTTGTACATTTTAGGAACCAATAAGAGTTAAAAAAAAAAAAAAAAAGTAACTTCAAGTCCTTATTCCGCTAGATTCCCAGGGCAAGGACGCCCAGCCCTGAGGGGAGGGAAGTTTGGTAGGGAGCAGAGGGAAGGCAGACAGAGAAAAGGGGGCAGAGGGCGGCCCTACCTCAGCCTGGAAGATCTGCTGGTAGACGTTCCCATTCTGAACCCGGGTCACCTTCCCCAGTGACGACATCTTGGCCGCTGGCTGGAGGGCCCTGCGGGGAAGCCGGGAAGCCGTTGTCCAGGAAACGCGTCTGAGGTTTGGTCTCCATTTCGACTCCGAGGTTGGGAAATTGACGCCCGCCCCAAGCTCAGGTCCTGGCGGGACCACGTCTGACTCTGAAGGTGGCGTCCCCCTGGGTGAGACCCCCGAGGCAGAACCCTCTGCTCGAGCTCAGGGAGGCACACCGACTCGGGGTTTAAATTGTAAAGGAAACGAAGAGGGGAGGGAGAGCGGAACAACCATGAAACGAACCTCAGACGAGCCTCGAACTCGAGGAGGAGGCTGAGGAGGAGGCTGGCTCCCCGCCTCGCAGGGCGCGAACTATTCTGGTCACACTGTTCAGGCGCTTTCTCTGCTGAGAAGGCACTGCCGGCTCCTCCTGTGCACCCGGACCCCCC